AGGCCACTGTGTAGGTGCACATTGGTTGGCGGGGATAATGTCCTCCACATCTCAGCAAATCCCAAAATATATGAGTTCGCAAGCTCATCAAGAGCTGTCATCTTGATTTTGGCTGCCGAATGCTTCCCTGCAATGGAGGGCGTGTTGGATGTCTGCGTCCCAGAGCTTATAAAGATCTTGATGCCCTCGAACATGGTACAGTTTGGCCTGACCGCATTGGTGTTTCACACTGGACCGGCATGGGTTCATTGCTGCAGGGTGGCATTGGCTGTGGAATTGGTGCTGATTCACCTGCGCTCTGTGCAATTGCCCACCTTTTGTGCTCATCCGGCAGCGCGATCTGGACTGGCTGATGGTTCGGGAATATGCAGGTGAATGTCTGGGCGCAGGCATTCAGCACTGTCGCACATTCTGTTGTTGGGTTTCATGTCCGAGAAAGTTGACTTGTTTGCAACTGGCTTGCCCATTTTCTCCATCTGGCAAATTATGGACCACAATTGAACTTGGAGGAGGTATTAAACATCATCATGTTGCTATGACCAACTTCTTGGCCTCGGACGAATCTGGAGGTGTTGCACGCTGGGCTCACCTGGATCACACATAGTTTGGCATCTCCATCCTGACAGGTCAGCAATTTCGGTCACTCTCAACTTCTGCAATATGCTGCTCACTCTTTCGGGATTCAATTGCTTGCGGCTCTGTGTGACGCAGTCTTCGCCACATCCGAAAGTGATATCGTCTCTGAGTTCCCGCGCAGATTGAATAGTCGGCATCATGAGCACGATCCCCGGCAGCTGTTGTTGGGTGCAAGACAAGGCTTCCACTGATGGTTTTGCACGCAACTTCATCTTTGTGCAACGCCACAACTGTTGGATCTGAAAGTACATCACGGAAGAATGCCCCAAACTCAACAATGGAACACGGGAGGTTGCGCCGGTTTACCACCACAATTCGCTCAGGAAAAATAAATGTATTGGCTTCAGTGCCCTGTCTCTGTCTGTCAGCCTCTGAACTTGCGATGCGTCCAGTTTGGAGCGCACAGTTCTTTGAGTTCGGCGCCTCACATGAACATATCTGCCGACGCATTGCCTCGTCCTCAAGAGATGCATCATACACCAGTCGGGGAGAGATCCACCGTTTAGTGCTGAGCGGCGGTTGCAGCGTGATGAAGTTGGTGCACAGCGGTTGCTCAGTTCATGCTGCTCTGATTTGGTGAAAGATATGCCAGAGAGTTCCAGCATGCAGCAGACGATTTGGTGGAGGTGGAGGCTCCCAGCCCTGTGGAACGAGATGTGGCGCCAGTTGAGGGTGATGAGACACTAGACGGCGTTAAGCTGTCAATGGATGCAAATAGTCACGCGAACAGTGCAAGAAATATGATTTGGCAATTGGTGGTTCAAAAGACAAATGCCTAAAACGACAAGAGTTTTTTGCAGAAGCAACCTTCTCACAATGTTGCGTCAAGGCTCGAGTCTGTGCGAGAAGGGAATGTGGTGCCAGCGACGAGATTGCTCGAGCTATTGCCTGACCCACACACCGTTTTGCAGCTTGGTGGTCCCCACACATCCAAAGTTGTTTTGAGACCCGCGCTGGCACTGCGATCGAGATCGATTTTTGTTACACGTATTTGGAGGACGAGCATGTTTAGCGCAAAGGTCAACATGGCACATGGCTTGCGGGCGTTGACGTGCAGACGGGTACACTTGTGGCCTCACCCATTTCGGCAAAAGGTGCTCGGAACTTGGTGCGCGCCACGGAGGCGGTCACAAGGTCCTGACAAGTGCTTGGTTCAGAAACCATCTTTGAAGCAGGTGGCGAAGAGTGTGCAAGCTGCAAGGGCACGACTAGGCCTTCAGATTGAATTCCGTAGCAACGATCATGTTGAGCGAGCTGTCCACACGTTGCGAGGCATGGCCAAAACTTTGATCAGCCACTTGGAGAGCCGCGCACAAATTAAACTGCCAGCAGTTCACCATGTCCGCAGGCGGGCGTGGGCCCACGCCAGTTTTCTGCACAACCGCTTTCATGTTCTGAAGCGCACAGGAATAGTTGGTATGGTTTGGCTCATGGAAAAACAACACTAGCAGCGTGGGAAGCACAGTGGGAATAAAGAATGACAGCAAGAAAGGAAGAAGCGGAGGAATGAGGGAAGTTTCAGCGGCGAGTTTTTTCTCGTCGTATTCGAAGCTCGACCCCTACTGATCACAGCGAATGCGTGTGACAATATCAGTCGCCGCGGTTTCCTAAGCGCGCTGAGAGATGATAGTCACAGCGTTATGTTTTCATCGCAATCCACGCCAAGCACATGAAGCAAGCTGGCTTTTCTACATCGTCATAGTTCAATTGTTTGTAATGAGTAGCACTTTTATTGGCCATAGCAACACTCAGCTTCGCTAGCAGCTATCATGGACTTTGCGTATGTGCGCGTTCTTTCTTGTGACTGCAAGGGTTTAGGAAGCTTGTCAGCAACATCATCCTGCAATTGCTCCAACATGGCATCATGCGGGAGAAGCGCGAGCTGGCCGGCTGCAAACTGGGTTTTCCTCCTGTACGATTTCCGGGAAGTCTTTTCACCTCCAAAAGCAAAGCACCATCGAATTGCGCTTGGGCTGGAAGTCTTCAAATGCTCCTCGTTTCTTGCACGCCTTCAGGAAGAATGATCACATGCGCGTCACTGACCACAAAAACTTGCCAATCCATACACCTCGCCGCCAGTGCACATCACCCTTGGAAGCAGTATAGGAGTGGCCATACACCGCCTCTCCTTGATCAAACTTGCTGCAAAAACTTTGCATGGGGTTATCCGATCCTTTCATTTTTACAGGGTCCCCTGATTGCAAGGACGTACTTACAGCGCGGGTGAAGATGTCAGCTCACACAGGATTCAGGCTTGACATTTTGAGGATGTTTGTGTCATACTTGTGAGTATGTGCAGAGGCAACCATAGATATGATGTATGTTGATCAAACACAAGCTACAAGTGGTGGTGCAGGATTTTGCCGGGGCTTGGATGGTAGTTAGTCCGTGGCGGAAGCATCGCGCTCGCAACGTTGATGCGGCTGCCCCGCAAGTCTTTGCTTGAGGTGATGCCAACATATCATGTGAATTCACATGCTGCAGGTTTACAAACTTTCTTAGCTACTTCCAATTTGCAAGCAACCACGCCCTGCTTCCCTGTTGAAGCACATCACCACAATCACTTATTGGCAGCCAAGATCTCGGCGTTTGCCATGTGATTTGCCGCGGATCCTTCGAAGTCCAACAATTTTCCAGGTTGCAGAATGCAGGACGGGTTGCCACAGGTTCAATGCCTAGACGAATCGGCCGGTGAAGGAGAAACGGTAGCTGCAAAACCACTCCGTTCCAAGGCGAGCAAAGATTCCGCTCGACTTGTGACACCAGGGCCTGGGATTTGCTAGACACGCCCTGAACGGTGTGGAGCAGGCGCTTGCCGGCGTTGCTTCGTCATGTTCGCAAAATCATGTTTTCCAGGCACTTGTTTGGTTGCTCTCAGACACTTTAGTCCCAAGGGGTGCAAGCTGAGAAAGGGCACATCTTCCACAATTTGTTTGCTTCAAACATCTACTAGCTGAAATAATCTTGCCCTGGCACCTTTAGTAGTTTCATGTTTCTCTCAACAGCAAGGCTCGTTCTGTCATGACCTCTTTGCCAGGTACTGAGGGGCCCTTGCACGAGGACGGGCATTGACGCAAAACTTGGTGTGCTGCTATTTGGGCCGAACGGAGCCTTGCCACCTATTGGATAGCCCACAAACAGAAAGCTTGTGCCAAAGTAGCAGCCCTGGTTTGGCTTAGCAGCATATATCGCGCTTTGTATTCTTTGCGTCGAACATCTGCTGTGGAACGTGGAGACGCAGTATTAAGCCCTGCAAACAGCCCAAAGCGAGCCCGCCAGGCAGGTGCGCTGGCGCCAGTGGCTCTTCCCACAGGCCACCAAGGCCCGGTGGCGGTTCAGCGGCACAGGGGGGGGGGGATGTTTGGGAAGAATTTGTAAAAGGGACACCAACATGAAACGAGGTGGACAGCCTGGAGCCCAAAGGCAATGGCACTTGGAGCCCAAAAACAATGGCACCTGTGTGGCTTGACCAGGGAATTCACTATGTGGCTCTTCTGTGCTTCGCAAGTTGTGGAGATGATTGTATGGAATGGGTCAGAATGAGGGAATCTAAATTTGCAAAAAACTGTTGGTTGCCGGAGGTTGCCGGTTTCCGAATACATTTGGGTGGTGAGTCTGGATCCTTGCCTCTGCTCCTGTGAACATGTTGTTTGGTGAAACCACTCATGAGCCCTCAATTTGGACACGCCGAAAAGAACACGCCCAAAGGACCCAAAGCCAAACCTGGTACGATTCTGGGGCCGCTTTTTTCAGGATTCTGGGGGCGCTTGGAGTCGCTGACCCTAAAGGTGGGGCTTGTCATGCAGAATTCCCAGAAATTCCATCAGTCGGATCGGTGTTCTCCCTGACTCATTGCTAGGTTCAACTCGTTCCCCTCAAGAAGCTTCTCTTGGAGTGCTCGCCTTTGAAAGGCCAAAGTCCAGGGGTTGATTGGTAACCTAGCCAGGAACGCGATTCCACTGGAATGACATCCCTTCCAATCGGTTTCGTTTGATGGTTTGCCTACAATCAAGTGGCCAAATGGCCACTGGCACTTTGTGCGTTTCCATAGCTTGAACTGACTTCAATCTTAGAGTCGCTTCCGATCGACTTGGTGGAGCAACCCCGGGTCGAAGATGTGGTTTCCTTCAGCGAGTCTCCCTGACCCTTTAAACATGAGTGGTTTACCGTTGGTTTCCAACCACAAAAGGGGTACCTGGAGTCTCCATGTTCAATCCTTCCAAAGGGGAAGAACCTGCTTGCCTGTTTTACCCTTCCTGCGAAGCTACATTTGCTCAGACATATATCGATCGTGACTTGCCAAATTCAGATAGCAATGTCCGTCAGCTGGCGAAGCCTTGTTCTGGCTGCGCTCTGCCTATTAGGCTGCAGCGCTGAGCGTGGATTCCACCAGATGCACATGGCCCTCACCCAGGATGAGAATGCATCGACTGTAGGCATCCCTTTGAAAGTGTTGGTCTTCAGTGACGTCCATGGGAGCTGCAAGAAAGATGGAAGTATGATCTCTGCCTCCACCCATATCGATGAGTTCAAGGCTTCTAAAGCTGCGGAGAAGATCGCGACCACTGATGCCCACATCATCTTGTTTGGCGGCGATTCAACCCTCATCCCGAACACGATTATGTGTGAAGACTCCAATTTTGAAGAGCTCAACGTGTTCCTTGATTGGTTTATCACAATCCAACCAGGGAAGTTGAAGGTATTCATCCCTGGCAACCACGATGTTTGCCTGGATGAAAGCAGCACAGCAGACGATGCGGGCCAAACGAAGAAGACGCGGAGGGAAGCGTTGTTCGCCAAGATGGCAAATAACAACATCTACTACATCGGAGCAGCGGGATGGCTGGAGGTTCCCTTGGGCGGGGAGGTGTCCTTCAAGGTCCTTGCTTCGGGCATGTCCCAGGGCCGTCCCCCTGGCATGACCCAGTTTGCGGAGGGCTTTGGCCTGAGCGAGACTGGCCCCTTCGGGCCGGAGAAGTTGGGCGGCAAGATCTTCGGCGCGTGCCTGGGGGCCTTCCAGTATTGCCCGGCCACCGGGGCAGAGACCAGCAACGTGGACTGCGCCGACACGGTCCAGAAGGTCACGGAGATGATCCAGGAGGCCAGTGGGAGGCTCGGGAACGAAGCAGACCTCGCGCTGATGCACGGGCCTCCGGAGAACCTGGGAGTGAAGTTCGGGCCTGGAGGGGGCACCGGTCCTACCGGGCAGATGGCAGATGCCATCATGAAGCCTTTGCTCGTCAAGAACGGGGTTCTCCGTGTGGGGCATTACCACCCAACGTCCGATTGGACTGAGGGCCATCGAACTCAGACGCTCACCTGCGCCGCCGATGGCTGCTCAGGCGCGGTGGAGATGAAGTTTGTGTCCGTCAAGGCACAGCGGCCGGAAATCTGCGACTACCCGAGTGCGGATGATGCGATGCACGTGCCTGATGAGCACACCTTCGCTCATCTGCAGGTGACGCAACTGGGGGTGCCCACGAATTATGGGAATGTGGTCAACCGGCTCACCCAGGAAGTGACGGGCAAGTACACGTGGACAGGACCTACGTTCCAAGAGGCGGAAACCACCAGGATGTACAAGGTGGTTGAGCGCCACGGAAAGAACGTGATTCAGCCCGTGTTGGAGTAAGAGCAGATGGTGACATCCGATCCATGGCAGCGCACAAAAACGGTGCGACACACACACACACAAGTGTTCGGCGCAAAGTGGGATTGCATTTGTGTTTTTAGTCAGACCCAAATGCCATGAGCCTGCCGTATTTTGGGCTTGCCCGGCTCAGATGCCCGCGCAGGGTTGGCGCCCTGAGCGCTTCGAGCACGAGGGTGAGGCCTTGCGCTTTGCGCGGCAGAACGGGTCCCAGCGATGCTTGGGGTTTAGGGTGTTATTTCCTCAGTGGACAAACGCTTTTCTTTGATGCAATTGTTCAAAGAGCAGTCTTTGGGTGCTTACTTTGCGTCTTACTTCTTGCATTGAGTTCCCTGAGTTTGGTTGCACGGCCTTTGCCAAGGTCCAAGCGAATCCCCCTGTGGAAACTCGCCTGGGTGTGGTGCTCAGAGCGTAGACTTCGCTGGGACAAAAGAAGATCTGAAAGGAGTTATATTGGCTGGTCAAACAGCAGGGATTCAGCCCGAAGAACCCAAAGGAACAGATGAATCAGAATGGTCTATGGGACCATGTTGTCTCTACGCAGGGCTCTGGAAGCGGTGTCCACATCCGCCCGTCTCAAGGGAACGTAGGCCGCCGGCTTTTGCGGATCTCAATGAAGCGCAGGCTGTGAGGCAGGGACTGGGATTTCCAACTCCAGGGCTCCTGCTTCGGTGTCTGTTTTGCACAGCGGTGCAAAGTGTATCCTTGAAAACGCGGCATTCCCATATGTCAGGGTTGAGCAGGGGTTTGTGTCTTGCATGGATTTTGGGTTCGATCGAATTGGTGTACCAAAGGCGCCGAGTCGCATGATTTGACAGGCAGATGGCCTGCAATGACCCCTTCCTCACCAACGTTCAGGCGGGTGGATTGGCTTAGGGTTTGGGGTGATCAGGAATGGGCTTCTGGTCTTCTCTCCTACAATCAGGCTGACTACAAGACTGCCTCACCAGTTGCCTGGACAAGGCGAGAGCACTTGGCCTGAACCTTGGTCTGCCTCTACTGAGATATCGCATGGTGAAGATTAAGCTTTGACATGTGCTGGATGAAGCCATTTTGAAGTCAGTGCAGCTGTCATGCCGCCCTAGGTGACGCGAGAAGTAGGTTTGCTGATCTTTGTGCCGTGGTTCTGCTATGCTCGAGCCTCGGTGTTGGACAAACCGAGCCATGAACCGAGCCCCGTCCTGAAAAGTGTCTTGAATTAACACCTCAACGGAACAAGCCGGCAACCTGAACGTTTTCATCTCTGCCATGCGAGGTGCTGTTGCTGGTGACCTTTGCACTTCCGCCCCCAGGCTCGCTTGGCTTAATTTCTGCTTGCTGGCACCCTGGTACATGGTGTTGTGGCATTGTAGCAGAAGTCAAGGCTGGTTGGCTACTGTCAGACATGTTCTTCATGAAGGGGTCTTTTTGAGGGACCTACAATTGATGGTTGAATCCTTCAAGTCGCAAAATCCAGGAGCCTGAATTTATTATCCAAGGAGGAGCAGGATTATTTATTGCAGTCCGGCAGGTGCCCAAACCACAGCATCACACCATGACACGTTCGCGAGCCGCAGGCATCTTCTGGAACATCTTGGCTTTCCTCGCTTGGAGCTTGGTCTGCCTGGGTGCAGGCTCAGGGCTCGGACTGACAGCCCCCCCCACCCCCAGAACTCAACGTTACATACATACGTACAACGTACATGCATGCATACATACATGTGCATACATACGTAGAAGATGTATCGGGTCCTTGGATTGAAGATCAAAGAAGGAAAGCAAGAAGAAATAAAGAAAGGAAGAAAGAAAGAAAGAAAACAAGAAAGAAAGAAAGAAAGAAAGACAGAAAGAAAGAAAGAAAGAAAGAGAAAGAAAGAAAGAAAGAAAGAAAGAAAGAAAGAAAGAAAGAAAGAAAGAAAGAAAGAAATAAAGAAAGAAAGAAAGAAAGAAAGAAAGAAAGAACGAACGAACGAAAGAAAGAAGGAAAGAAAGAAAGAGAGAAATAAAGATAGAAAGAAAGAAAGAAAGAAAGACAGAAAGACAGAAAGACAGAAAGACAGAAAGACAGAAAGACAGAAAGACAGAAAGACAGAAAGACAGAAAGACAGAAAGAAAGAAAGAAAGAAAGAAAGAAAGAAAGAAAGAAAGACAGAAAGAGAAAGAAAGAGAGAAAGAAGGAAAGAAAGAAAGAAAGAAAGAAAGAAAGAAAGAAAGAAAGAAAGAAAGAACGAACGAACGAAAGAAAGAAGGAAAGAAAGAAAGAAAGAAATAAAGATAGAAAGAAAGAAAGAAAGAAAAAAAGAAAGACAGAAAGACAGAAAGACAGAAAGACAGAAAGACAGAAAGACAGAAAGACAGAAAGACAGAAAGACAGAAAGACAGAAAGACAGAAAGACAGAAAGACAGAAAGAAAGAAAGACAGAAAGACAGAAAGAAAGAAAGAAAGAAAGAAAGAAAGAAAGAAAGAAAGAAAGAAAGAAAGTAAGAAGAAAGAAAGAAGAAACAGACGTAGATAAACTTGGTCCTTCTAATACATACATACATACATGCATGCATGCATGCATGCATACATACATACATACATAGCCCCCCCCTCCCCCCCACCCCCCACACTTTGGGGCGCGCTATGGCTGACATTTGTTGTTTTGTTGGCGTGGGTGGTGGGCCAACCCACAGCTCCGAGTTCGTCTCGGAAATGGCCTCAAATGGCAAGCGACCCAACTGAGCCCGCGATTGCGTGTGAAACGAGTGCCGAATTGGGCCTGCAAGTCCGCAGGTACCAGCTACGACTTGCAGCGTCGCCAAGGGACTCCCATCTACAAGTTGCTCACCATCACCGCGCCTCAGAAAGAGCTGCCAACAGGAAACCACGGGAGCCGAAAAAGAAACCCCTTGTATGTGTCAATGTAAGGCATGGTCCCAGTTTTTTTTGGACGTATCAAATCAGCTGCAACGCCGCTTGTAATTTGAAGCCATCATCATCATCATCACCATCACCATCATCAGCATCATCATCATCATCAGCATCAGCATCAGCATCAGCATCAGCATCATCATCATCATCATCATCATCATCATCATCATCATCATCATCATCATCATCATCATCATCATCATCATCATCATCATCATCATATCATCATACATCATACATCATACATCATACATCATACATCATACATCATACATCATACATCATACATCATACATCATACATCATACATCATACATCATACATCATACATCATACATCATACATCATACATCATACATCATACATCATACATCATACATCATACATCATACATCATACATCATACATCATACATCATACATCATACATCATACATCATACATCATACATCATACATCATACATCATACATACATACATACATCATCATCATCATCATCATCATCATCATCATCATCATCATCATCATCATCATCATCATCATCATCATAATCATCATCACCATGGCCCCAAAGATTAACAAGTTTTTGCACAAGTCCCGCGCAAATCGCGCGCAGCCCGCAGACGTCCCCAAACTGCTTGGAGCAGGTGTGGCCCATTTCTGTATTTTGCATTTTCTTTTTTTCCGCAGATCCCAGCAATTTTGCCGAGTGAATTTGAAAGCAGAAGCTTTGCAGCGGTTTATACACATGAGACCTCATACACTTAAAGGGGCATGTCATTGGGGGACCTCATGCTTATGAAGACCGCCGCTTGGATCTGCAATGAAACTACTTGGGATAACGGGCTTATTTTTCCAGCTCCTGAAAATGGATGGGACATTGGAAGGTTTTGTTCTCGCGTCCTTGTGCAGGGAGTCTTGGGAGCAAAAGCGCAATGCTCGGGAAAGGGTTGCATCGGACTTCTTTCATGGTCCGCTGCGATTTTGGCAGTTGTCGTGTTCCTCTCCAGGAAAGGCATCTTTGGTAGCGTGTTTCTAGCACTCGCCGGCTTGAGGGTTGGCATGCTCTGTGAGGGTCATTCCAGGTGAGCACACAGCCGGGGAAGAGATTTGGACAAGGATCGCAGTAGGCAGATTCGCACAAGGTACTGATTCCTGCCGCTGCATCATCTCCCCTCTGTCCATTCTCAAAGTCAACGGGAAAGTGCAGGCTTCCACATGCTATGTCTAACCCGCCAGACCGCTTAGGTGCTGATCAGCTGCCTGGCCGGGCCGCTGGTGGGGCACCACATCTTTGTGACCGAGATGAGCGGCTACTGGATGCACAAGTCCGGGGTGACCTACAAGGACGTGGCCGGCAGCCCAGCAGCGTGGGGATGTAGTTGACACCTGGACGGCTGGAGATTGGAGCTCCTTGCTGTTTGGTGGTCGCTTACAGGTTTTTGGCCATACCCTCTCTCCCGACTTGGAACCTGAGGGTAGTCTTTTGGACGGCTATTGTTTCAGTCTCCGTCGAGGTGCCGTCAAAGCACGCCGACGCCTTCCAAGATGCGGGCATCATTGACTTTGCGGCGCCTCGGCCGGCTGGAAGGGAGCAATGTCACCGCTTTGGTATGGGCTGGTGCCCCCCCCCCCCCCGTGTCGGAAACCACAAACAGGGTATGTCTTAAAATGAAGGAGCACCTTTTGTGGTGCATCGTGTCTCAAGAGAAAGACGCCAAAAGGGACACCACCTGAAAGGGGCCCCCCAATTTCGTTTAACAAAGCAACGTCTTTGTTCGAATCTGCTCGATGGAGGCTGGAGCTTTTGCCCCCTTTTGCAGTGCTTGTGTTGCCGTTCAACAGTTTGAACTAGTGAAAAGCAACCAAGTGCGCCTTGATTCCCCGACTCTTCGAAATGAACACTGCCCAGAGTCGTCCATACGTGTTGCTGATTCCAAGGAGGTCTTCTTGCAAGGTCTTCTTGCCATTTCGTTCAAGCCAGCCAAGTTAATGGCTCCATGGCAGGGCGTTACTCTACGACAACTGAGCGCACTGGGATGCTTGTAGTTGGGGGGGAATTACCAGAGAGAGGCACTACCAATTTTCGTGCAATTCGAGAGAGAAATTTCGGGGGAACCAATAAAAGGTTCCCTCACAGAGTTTCATGCGCGCACAGACCCATGGGATCGGATACCCTTTGCAAAGATGTGGTGAAGCTCTCGCGCACAGCATTCAGCTGGTCTTTATTCAACCTGACCGCAAACAAATGCACATAGCAAGCTCGCCAAAGATCTCAACCTGCTTGGAGACCCTCCTTTCCGAGCGTTTGTTTCCGCAGATCCAAAGAGGCGACTTTTTGAACTAACAACAACCCCTCCCCAAGTGGCTCAAACAAAAGTACACAAACGCCTTATGGAAGCAAAAGACGAAAACCTGCGTAAGCCGAGCTCTCTTGTTTTTGAGCCACACCCAAGTGTTCGATCCGAGGCCAGCGCGCAGCTGGACCTGCGGAAGAGCTTCGGGGTGCGCGCCTTCGGAGAGACGGAGACGTACTGCGTGGCCCCTGTGGTGGCCAGGGCCCCGGGCCAGCGACGGCGCCGGCACTGTCAAGCCTTCCGTGGGAAAAACATATTTGTGCGGGCGGCGGGGTGTCTCGGGGGGGCGGGGGGAATTTGGGAGCTTCTTGGCAGTAATTTGTTTGAGCAGTGAGTTGCAGCAGGGGTCCAGGATCCACGCCGCATGAGGCTCACGGCTTCGTATCAATATACGCGGCATGCTACATATATGGACATGAGTGGATGGAACTTAAGATCCCTCTCGGATTGTGCAGACAACTGTACACTCAGAAACGTACCTCAGCTATTTTAGGCCTAAATTCAATCCACGAAGAGAGTACACCCAGCTGTACATTTGTGGCCCTAGTGATCGACAACTGCACCAACTTGAACCTTCACTGATTCCTGATTCCCACATTCCAGATGACGCAACTAGAACCAGTCGGGCATGTGGCGCAACTAGAACCAGTCGTGCATCCAGGTGAGCAGATCCGTGTTGATGTGCGACTCTCCGACTTAAAGTTGTGGTCGTGTCTTTTTTTGTTTTTCTCCGGAAGCCCAACATGGTTGCAAAGCGCAAAAGGACACGTTTCGCCATTTTTAGGGGGGTTGCCCCTCACCGGAGGGACGAGGCAACGAGCCCATGTGCCCTTCCCCTTCTCCCAACCGAGGATGCGGCGCAGCCGGGCGCGGTGAGCTTCTTCGCGGCGGGGGTGGACTGCTGCGAGCCCCGGCGGAGCTTTCTCTGCGGGGACGCCCTGAAGCCCAGCGCCAGGACGGCGCTGGTGACCTCGGTGGCGTCGGTGGGCGCTGGGTGCCAGAGGGAGGGAACGAGAAACAAACATGAACCTGTCCCCTGAAAGGAAACCACCAGTTGCAGAGTTTGTCTCGGCGGCATTCTATTTCTCATTCCCTGTTCAGCACCAGCAAGTCTTAGTCCTTTTTTGGCTCGGGTTCGGGAAGGCACGGACAAATATTGGACCGGTTGGGTTGTGGATAAGAATCCTGGCCTACTTGATATTACTGGGGTTAAGTTAGCTGTTGGACCCTGGTGTCGCTGAATTGGCCGATCGGGACCGTGGCCGACGGACAGGCTGGCACAGCAGGGAAAGAGTTGTGGGGTTGGGGTACTTGTGATGTTCAAGTTAGGGAACATGAGACTGCATGGATTGAGGTTGGAGTCGCAGTGCTGCTTTCAAGCACACAACACACACACACACACACAACCCACAACACACACACGCACACCACACACACACACACCACACACACACAACACACACACACAACACACAACACACAACACACACACACACACACCACACACACCACACACACACACACAACCCACACACACAACACACACACACAACACACACACAACACACACACACAACACACACAACACAGACACAAGACACACAAGACACACAACACGCACAACACACACATACAACACACACACACAACACACACACACACCACACACACACACACAATACACACACAACACAACACAAACAACACACACACACACACAACACGCACACACACACACACACACAACCCACAACACACACACACACAAAACACACACAACACAGACACAACACACACACACAACACACACACACAACACGCACAACAGACACACACACACACACAACACACACACACACAACACACACACACACAACCCACAACACACACACACAACACAGACACAACACACGCACACACAACACACACATACACAACCCACGCACACAACACACCAACACAGACACAACACACACACACACAACACACGCACACACAACACACACACATACAACACACACACACAACACACACACACATAACACACACACACACAACACACACACACAGACAAACATCACACACACAACACACACACACACAACACACAACACACACACACACCACACACACAACACGCACACACACACACACAACCCACACACACACAACACACACACACACAACACACACACACACAACACACACACACACACAACACACACACACAACACACACAACACAGACACAAGACACACAAGACACACAACACGCACAACAACAACCCACAACACACACACACAAGACACACAACACGCACACACAACACACAGCACACGCACACACAACACACACACACAACACAGACAAAACAGACACAAACAACACACACACACACAACACACATACAACACACACACACAACACACACACACACACAAAACACAAAACACAGACACAACAGACACACAACACACACACAACACACAGCCATAGGCCCTTTCTGAGTGCATGTCCTCCTCCGCTTTCAAGAGGGTTGCACCTTGCAGAACCGGCGTGGTCTTGCCTTCATCAGCCTCCAGCTACAACGCTGCGAGGCCGGCATGTGGTAGAAAGGCACGTTTGGCAGCCCTTCGAAGCGGCTGAAGTCAACTGTTCGTTAGATGCGTCCGGTGCGCGCCTGTCAAGAACAGCGCATAGTTTGTATGGGAGAAGTATGAATGCCATTGTTCCCCTGAAAGAGGGCAGGAGGCCAGGAGGTAGCACATTCAGTCCAGCTCGCACAAGGGTGACTTCCGAGGATATGCTCAGATGGGGGTAAAGATCCAGCTTTGTGGCTTGCGGTGGACAAGGGCTCTGTGCTTGTTTCTTCGGTGCATTTCGGCGCAACTCCCTCCATTGGCGGAACTGGTTGCAGAGAACTTACAGCGATGCAACGACCTGTGGCCGAATTTCGTGGCATATCCTGTTAGCCCAGGCATCCATTCCTTTTTGGATCCCTTGCATCCATCGGCTTGCACACGCTGGCAGATGGGACCGCTTTCACGATGCTGCGACGCGGGCTGCGAAGGCACCAGTCACGGCAGCCGCAAGTTGCATCCAAGTGTGGTTGTGAGTTTGAATGCAGCAATGCAATGCGAGGCAATGCAAGGCAAGGCAAGGCAAGGCTATGCAGTCTGATGTACGGCAAGGTAATGCATGCCTTGCAATGTGCTGTGATGTACTGTACCGTACTCGATGCCATTGATGCTTAGTTTAATGTAAGTGGGAATCGTACTGATCGTAGTTGATCATGGTCTCTCCAAAGGAAGCGCAGATGAACCGGTTGGGTCGTGAGACCAAGTTGCGGACGCCTTAGGCGTTGCCTAGCATGGCGCAGGCTGGTGAAGCTTCAAGGTCGCCTTGGTAGCTCAAGTCGAGCGGCGCGCGCCTCTGTGTTTGGCGCGGCGCACGCGCCAAAACCTGTCTTTGCGCTGGCAGCGCGCCTTTGTTCAGCTTCAGCTGTGGCCGCTGCGGCTTTAGAGAAGTTCTCTGGCGCTGGTGGCAAGCGAAACGCCGCTGGTGGCAGCTCTTGAGGCGCCACAGGAAGGCCACCCTCCCGGCAACTGCGCAAACGCCTTCTTGTGACCCTTTTGTGGACTGGCGTGGCAGCGAACTGGTCAGGAGCACGTTTGGTTTTTTGGCAAGCCTGGCTCGGCCGGCTAACCAAGGCGGCGCAGCACGGAGGACAGCTTGCGCACGCGTGCGCGCTTGAGTCAGGCTGAAGTCTTGCGCGAACTGCGCTGCGGTCGCTCGGAGTGGGCTTGCCGCTGTGTCGCCCTTCCGCCGCTTGCAGTGTCCGCGTTTTCTGAAAGGGTAAACGTGTCACCCGCCTACCAAACGCCCTTGAAGAGCCCAGCTAAGGAATCGCTTGGTGACTTTCGGGCCCGCTGCTCCGCCCGGCCATGAACTCGAAATTCTACACCCTGTTGCAGTGTGTGATGTTGCGTCACCTTATGTTACGTTACATTGCATTGCGTTGCGTTGCATTCTAATACACTGCGTTGGGCTGCATAGTGGTACGTTGCGTTGAATAGCAAACGCAACAACTTTACTACTGTGTGTAACTCGCTGGAGTGTGAGGTGTTGTTTGCAGGAAGGAATCCGTGTGGGTAAGCTGCTAATGAAGTTTGTTCTCCATGCCAGCATCAGGTGCTTTGGACCACGCATGTTGTTTTTCCGATCAAAACCGCCGATTCGAAGCGCTGCAAAGAAACCATAAGCGTGAGTCTTGGGTACTCACGCTTCGCATCAAAATCTTGAGCTTGGGAGTTTCGAGCCCAGCGCTGACCCACGGGGTCTCCTTTTTGCCAGAACAGGTTGCAGGATGCATCCAAACCCAACTGCTCCACCTCTTGTCCATCGGAAAACCACGGCGCAGACCCCTTTCCGCCAGGTCCATGGCTGGCAGCTTCCAGAGCGGCCCATCTTCCTGCGCTGGTTCGAGGATGCAGAGGCTGCGTGCTGGCAGCAATGCGGCGCGCCAGATTCGCGGTAAGCCACTCTTAAGGCACACGTGCAGCAGTGCATCTCCATTCGGGTTTTATGGACATTGGAACCTAGAGCCTAAGGAAAAGTGCAACCCATTGGGTGCGACGCACCGAGCCTTCCGAGGTCCAGTCCGAGCTTGCGCACCGGGGCTTAGTGGAGGCGCGCGGGATTGAAGCCCTGGCCGTGTTGACATGCTGGAACCAGCCTCGTCCAGCTTTTTGTTTGACTCAGCATGGCCTACCAAAATGGGACGCGGCCACAATTGAGCTGCTAGTTGTGTACTCTCAGGAGTGTTGTCAGTTTCTTCATGTCTTCTTGTGGCCAACTTACTAGCTATGCATTTTTGAATTGCGTGGCAGCAGGCGACGCATGCTACATTTGCAAGACCGGCAGGTGGCAGGAATACGTTCTTAATTGATGCTGATGACGCAGCACTTTTTTTTGCTCTCTCTGTGGAGCGATGGACGATGATGATGATGATGATGATGATGATGATGATGATGATGATGATGATGATGATGATGATGATGATGATGATCATCATGATCATCATGATCATCATTATGAAAGACATCTATGAGCTGAGAAAGGGGCGCGCACGGACCCTGCCTGATGCTGGCAGCTGTTGATGCTGGTGCTTATGGCATAGAGGAGACAGACAAGGCAGGTGATGCAAAAGGCCAGGTGATGCTGGTGATGCGAAGGTATTGTATGCGGACACAGGCACACACACAAACGCAGACATTGGTTGAGTGCTAGCACCAAACCAACTAGACTAATTCGACTCTCAGAGTAGCCAGCGTGCGCGAATCTGGGCTTGGGAAGTTGCACCTTTGGCACACGATTGATGAGGTTGACACGTGAATTTGCCATTAGGGAAACCAAACCAAAGGAGACCATTTTTGGAGGTCCCCGTTGCAAACAACAGCTGTCACTTTCTCAGTTCTCGCTTCGCGCGTGTCTTAGGCCTTCATCCAGAGCTTCGCGGGCCTTTGCGCATCCACGGTCATGGCCATGCGGCTCGCGGTAACTGGAACTTTTGTGGGGAACGGTGAAGGCAGCCAGTAGGTCTCACCTTGGTTCTCATCCTCATTTTCGTTGCCATTCTCATTCCCCCCCTCCCTTGAACTCCTCTTTGCGTTTGCAGACTCATCAACGACCAACACCATGTTTCAGACATTGCCAGTCTTGGCTTAGGATTTGGGGTGATCAGTTGGTGGAGGGTTCCCCCAACAGCAGTGATACTGGGCGGCAGTTGCGGCAAGGGCAGTTGGCTGAGGTGGCTGCATTGGTCCCTTACGTACTATGCGCGGGAGGGGGAGGCCAAGGCTGAAGCGAGGCGGTCTGTGACTGGCTGTTGATTCTGTCTCTCCACACATGTAGCCGTGACATGCAAGTTTCTGTCATCTCACATGAACGCCGCGGAGAGTAAACTACGTCAAAGGCACACAGACACACAGACACACAGACAGACACACACACACACACATACATTGACACCTGGAACTCTGGTTGGGGCAGTGGCTGGAGCCTGTGCCGAGCGTGCGCATGGCAGAAAAGTGCGCGGCAGGTTTGTTGGGAAGGCCAAAGTCAAGAGCCTTTCTGCGAGGGGTGCAGGCTTTTCTTCAAAATAGGGGCCTCAAAACTTTCTTGTTTCCTTTTCACGCAAAAAGACGTGCACCATTTCGCAAAAAACCTGCGGCCGATGTTCGAAGCAAGGTCCCAAGAAGACCAGCTTTGAGAGTGGCTAAAGCCAGCGTGCCTGCAGCCTTCCGACCGGCTTGGAGATGAACCAGGAACACATGGGTATGGGTCAAAATGAAACCACAGGACCGCTGGTTTTAGTCTTTGTTTCCATTTAATTACCAGGGTTCCATTTTTGGTACCTATTTTTGACCCACATCCACATATGCAAGCACACACACACACACACTCACCCTGTAGATTTATCACCTGCTTCCCTCTTGCACTCATTTTGGCCACGCTCTTTGAGCCCGCTCCCAAAACCAGCGACTGCCGCCTTCTCCGGCTTGAGGCCACCTCTATCGACTACGAGTACTTATCTCTGGCAAGCCTGGCCTTTTGTGGGTCGCCCCTTTTCCCTGATGCGACACATCTCTCGGAATGCGACTTCCGCCTTCCGGTGGCTCGAGCAGGGTTCAAGGGATGAGCCCGTCTGCCAGTTGTAAAAAACGAAAATAAGACACGTGGCAACCAGAAACAAACCCCGGGGCCCTTTAAAGGGAAGCCAAACGAAGATCTCTCTCCTTACTATAATGTTGTGTTTTTGTGCAGAGTCATCTTGAGGCATACACTCGAAGGGCGCCCGGCAGTCCGTACGAAGACTTTTGGACAGTTTCTCAAAAAACGAATTCCGGTACCGTCATCCTACCATGACATTTGCGGAACCGGAATCGACTTTCTTAGTTTTTTGAGCATCTTTCAGTGGATTGTTTGCTTGGTGGTTTCCAGCCATCCTTTTAGGTTTTTAAGGTTTAGGGCGGGTAACCATTTTAACCCACTAAAAGTTAAACTTTTAGCGGGGGATCCCAGGGCAGCCCATACCAAAGTCGTTCAGATGTCAATGCCAGGTCGAGCACGGGGAGGCCCGCCTGGGCCCAGAGTTCCGCAAGGAGCGGGCTTGGCTTGCCGCCTTCAGGGTGCTGTTTTTGGGACACTCGACTTGGAGCCGGAGACCTAAGCGACCTAACCTTGTGGAAAGGGGAGGCAAGCATGGAGATCTGACAGCTCTTGCTTCTTTTTGCTGGTGCTCAGTAGCGAATGAGGGAATGCACCTGCGAATTTCCTGAAAGGAAACCACAAGGGATGGGTTTTTGGGATGAGTCCCTCATTCCCTGCTGAGCACCAGCAAGTTTTTCCCGTTTCGCGAGGAGCTGGAGCGTGTGCTCGGGGTGCCGTTGAAGCGGCGGCGCAAGTCGCTGATTGCCTGGGGCCCAGACAGAGGCAGGGAGCTGATGGAAGCATTTTCTTCCATGAGATAGACAGATGCGTCCAAACTGACTGTCTCAGAGCTCAGGCTTGCACCCAGCTGTCAATTTTTGTTGGAAGAACGATGCTTGCCTTTTTTTTCATCTTCTTTTTTTCTTCTTCTTTTTTTCTCCTGGTTCAACAATCTACCCAACGTAGGATGCGCTGAGTGCTGAGGACACAACTCCGTAAGATTCTTCCGTGAGCGGCGGAAAAATGGGAGGGGGGGGGCCCTTTGTGTGTGTGTGTGTGTGCCCGCGTGCAATTCTATGGCTGATTGGTCAAATCGAGTGGTGTACTCCATGGACTATTTGAGATTTTGAGGACATACAGTACCGATATGAGTGTGTCTTTTTGTGAGGTATCCTATTTCAATCCCTAAAGGACTTTTTGAAGGTTCCCTAAATCGAAATAACACCCTTTGCTACCGGCTTAGACAGTTTGGAGCCTTCAGGGTGGGCTGCTCACTTGAAGATGTTACCTGAGTTTGCCTGCTTTTCCTTGCGAGGTTCAATAGGTTTGAAGAGTGCCATTCAAAGCTGTCCCGTGGAACGCGGGGCCGAAGATCCATGAAAGACTTCTCCAAGAAACCAAGAGGAACTGTCTTCCCTTGACTCGTTGGATGCAGGCGATCTGCGCCTCATCAACCCGTACTTGCGTGATGGGGCAAAGAGCATGGGCCTAAACATCATACAGCGTCCTCTTTTCATGAGACCTCATGGCAAGGATTGGTTCAAGGACGACCACAGCAAGTTGTTCGCCCTCGTTCGAGCCCAAACTTGACAGAGCCGAAGAACCGCTAAACCCATGCATGACTTCGTGGCAGATGAAAAACAAAGCTGTTGCGCCCCTGGCGCGGACCTGGCAGATGGGACGCGTTGCCATGGCGAGCTCTCGCCGGACTCGGGGTACAAAGAAGGCCCCAACGGCGCGCAGGCGCTCACCTGCGACTTTGGGTCGGGCTTGATCTTCTGTTCAATGCATTGGGAGACCTTCCAGCTCTGAGTCTTGCAGATGTGTTCCCTGCGCCAGAGCAGTCGTGGTAGGCGAGCACTGCCAGCAGCCCTGGTCATCAATCTGGCACGCAGGCTGGGACTGTAGGCAAGAGGACCCCAGTCAGCATCTTTTGCTGGAAGTCAACCGCATTTTCTGCACGTTTCACTTGAAAAGGACCTTGACGCAGGCTACTCTCATACGACCCATCTAACACTGGAACACTGAAGACGTATTGACATTTGGTTCTACCAAGATGGTTTACTCGTTTTATCAAGGCTCTATCATAATCCAATTCCAAACCTCCATGGCGCAGGAAGGATCGATGGGCAGAGATCAAGAGCCGTCTTCAGCGAATTGAAGGCAAAGCCATTCATGATTTGTCGCTTTTCAAGAGCGCCACTGCGACATGGGTGAAACATGACTTCTTTTAAATGATTCCAAAAAAGGGTACTCTGCAAAAAAAACAAAAAAAGCACAAACTGACATCATGTGACATGCTGTCTTGGGCAAGATTGCCGCTGAATCCAAGTTGATGCATTCGCCTTTGTGCCACTTCACAGCATTTTCCTCTGGGTGACCGGCCACGGCAGGCTTGGCGTTTGAGCGCCTAGAAGCTGTTGATGGGAAGGAAAAGATCGAGCAGAGTGGCCCGGTGCGCACGTGGAGCAGTTTTTCGGGCTTCGCCCGCGGCTCGCTTCTGCCTCGCCCGTGCGAAGACCAGGTGCTTCGCGTGGTAGCTACAGGCAAGGTAGCAAAACCTCGCAATGCGCGCAAGGCGGATGAATGACATCTTGCGATAAGAGGGACTTCCAGAGGTTTCCGATAGCATGCGACAACATAAACATGCAACAGTCCCATCTTGTTTCCTGTCCAGAAAGCCAAAAGTAGCCAGAATGCGCCTGAACTCCGCGCGGCCCCAGACGTACGGCCGACCAAAGAGAAAGTGGAACCAGGTTCTCCGAGTACTGGGCACATCCCCAGGTAAGAGCACTGTCTTGAGCAATAGAGAGCTTTGAAAAAAAAACGTGAGGCATATTGCAACAACTCCGCGACGAGGCCACATTCATCTGCCGCTTTTGGATTTCAGCGTCCCGATTGCAAAACGTCGCTCTGGAATTGTCCACACTGGCTCTGAGAGAAACAGCGGCCGTCATGGTGGCGCAACCTCTCCTGGACATAATCTTTGCAAAGTATCGGCGAAGTCCTCAACTCTTGGCGGCGCAGCCTTCGACTGAAGGACAGGTTTCCACGCATTCGGGTTGCTTGAACGTCGGTTTTGTCGAAGCTGCGCTAGTAGCCGCGCAGGTGTAAGTTGCATAGACTTGTCCAGCTAAACGGAGTCCGCTCGAGACCGGCATTCAACAGCAACGGACTGATAAAAGTCACGTTGTTCGGCACCCCTTTAGATGCTGGCAGGCGCGGATCCCAAGTACGGCCACGGCACGCCTTGCTTCACGAACGATTTGGAGTGCAGCATTGTGCTCGACGTCCAAATGCTTTTGTCAAACCCAAACTCGCAAGCCACGAACTCAGATCACACCCCGTTGATTTACGGTGCAGACTTTTAAGTACCAACGTTGTATCATCAATACGTGTTTTTTTCGGCGAAGCCCTGTTCGATCAAACGCCGACAAAACAGTGCGGTGAACGGCGCGGCACAACCAAGAAAAACGACAAGGGTTCTGGCGCAGCGACAAGGCGCCAGCCAAACAGGGCTTCATCGCCTCGTGTGCCCTAGGGCAGCACCTCTTGCGCACCTTACGGCCGTCGCAGCGCACAGCGACGCTGTCTGTCGGACCTTGCGCCTCCTCCACGGCGGGTGCCGATGGAAACACGCGCAGCTTGTGAAGCTTCCGCCCGGGGGTGGTGAGTTCGGCGGTGTAGGAGAAAAAGAAACGCACAGCGGCAAACACTTCTGGGAGGCTGCTCCCGCGTCGGCAACGCCCGCGCGCAGAGAGGAGCTCCGGGCACGTCGTTTCCCGTTTGCGCCGAGCTGCTCCAGCACACCACCAGCTTCCCTGGCTCTGGCATGACATGTGCTTGCCCTAGCGGGCCGCGGCGCTCTGCGCAGCCGCGGCTGCCAGGACTTTTTTTCATTGTGCGACTGCTTGCCCATGCCCTTGGGCGAATACGTGCGTGCTAAGTTGCGTTCGCGCGTTTGGCGGCGGCGTTCGGGTTGGGGATCGGGGCGATCCCTGGACCGCCACACAAAGTTTTCGGCAATCGGCCCTCGCGGCCCTGCGCAGGGTTGGCTTCATGTATTTGCGCCAGCCCTGGGTCGCGGAAGGCAGGCTGTTCTTTCGAGGTGGACGCAAGGCTCTTGACAACAACAAAGGCTGCAGGTCCGCAACGTGCAGGTGTTTGTGTCTGATGCCAGGCCGAGAATGCTGGGGACGCAAGGCTCTCGACAACAACAAAGGCTGCAGGTCGGCAACCTGCAAATATTTGTGTCTGATGCGAGGCCGAAAATGCTGGGCTACTCGATTGCGTCAGTTGCTCCTGCAAGCTGCGCAGCTGCGGGAGTTAGTGACGATGGCGCTGCCGCACCCTGTTGCGGCTTCGAGGCTGATCGGCCTGGTGGACGGTGCCATGTGGAGCATGACAGTGGCTGGCTGTTGGCCCGTCGCCTCGGAACAACTTTAGGGGTGCCCTCGGATTCTGCTGATTTCGTCGCTGCGGTTGCCGCACGGCGACCAGAGGAGGCGTCGCAGCTCCTCGACGAGTTGCCGTGCCTTGCCGACTTGCTGAGCGCACGGCTGCCGCCGCGCAGCCTTCATGCCAGCTCGCCAGGCGGTCTTGGGCTGTTCAATGGGACGGTGCATTCTCAGTCGGCAATCTGGCGCTTGCCCGGGGCAGAGTTGGACGTGCCAGAGGGCGTTTGACCAGGCACGAACTCAATTGGATTTTGTGCTGGGAAGTCGCAAGGCGGTGCCGCTTCGTTGTTGGATCGACAGCTCGTTTCCGATTGGGTTGGATCACCGATGTGTCCATTGCCAAATTTGCATACCAAATGGAAAGTTAACCAAGAAGAAGAACTATGCGGGCTTGAAGCATTGGAGGCCGCATTTGAATGGAAATTGTGAACCATCAACTTTCCAGTCACAGTGGCCCAGCCTGCACGAGCCGCCGCTCGAGTGCGTGCTCTGCCTTGCTGCAGATGCTGGCGCGAGCCGCTTGCCCCTGCGCGCCTGAATCGCCTGTGCGCGGGGCGCTTTTGCCGACGTTTCACGCTTTCGCTGATGTTTCAGCCACAAGCCCTATGTCGTCAGCAGCCTTGTTCGATTTGATTCGGCGGGTTGCTGCGAGCTACTCCTGCATGGTCCAAGGTGGTTCAGCTTACCCGTCAAATAGTTCCAACAACATTTAAGCAAATTCATTTGGCTGAGGTTGTTGTAAAAATGTTCGCCAAGTAGCATGTTGCAAATGTCGGAGTGTACGCCACGTCTTCGAATTGCCCATGTTCGCACTCCAACTGAAGCCTCAAATTTTGGGATTTAATTTGCCTCAAGTCCCAGCGCGGGCACCACCTTCCAACAGCATAGTTTCCAAAGATTCAAGCGTAACTCCCGATGCAGTCTGAAGTTTGTCTCGAAGTACACGCCACGCGCGGCCCAAGGCAGTGGACCCAACGGCCTGCTGTACTGCGACCGAAAGCTGCGCCCACCAGCGCCGTTGCCAACCTTGAGCCGCAGGATGCTGCAGGCCTGCGCACGGCAGCGGGGCCCCGCAAGCTGCGACGTCACTTCAGGGCACCATCACTCCAGCGCCCACCAATCTCCGAGCCGAGGACCAGGAGGCGCTGTGGCCCCTGGCAAGCAACTCAAGGTAGGTTGCTCGCTTCCCTCGCCGTTCGCAGAGCCGCCCCGTCCTCCTCCGACGCCCGGGGCGAGGAGCACCCGAGCGAGTCAACGGCGACGCAAGTGTAGCGTCACAGCACAGCGCCTGCCCCCAAGAGAAAATCCATAGATGACCAGATCCAAGCGGCGCCTATCACGCGCGTCAACACTGTCAGCGACGCCTCCACAGCCGAGCCCTTCGCCGCCACACCGGTTGGGGGCAATGGGCACAGGCAGCCGCATCCGGGCGTCAGCGTGGTAGACGCAGCAGCCGGGATGGCCGTCAGCCAGGCTCCAGCGCCCAGCCTTCCACTTGCAGGCCGCTTGAAAGCTGGGCGGGCCTGGCCCGTGTGCCGCGGAGCTGAGCTCGGCGACCCGCGCTTCCGCGAAACCGCCACGACGTGCCTGTATTACCACGAGCGCATCAGCCCACTCCGCCCCGTAACCCACGCAGCCAAGCTGAGCCCCAAGCCACCCATAGCAGCTGGAAGGCCCGCGACAGCCCGCGCGTACGCGAAACCTTCGGGCGTCAAGCCGCCCAAGCACTGAAGCAGCGTGTCCCACAGCTGCGTCGTGCACCACAGCATAAGGCGCCGCCAGGGAAGGCGGCGCAGTGCGCAGGGTGTGACTGGCTCGGGCAGACGCGCACGTTGCCAGCAACAACCGCGCGCGTCGCAGGCCCGGGATGCGGGACTCAAGCCGCGCTTTGCTGGAGTGACACGGCTGTGGTGGCTGAACTGCTCGCCTGCTACAGCTGAATGTTCGCCCACCAAATGCCCGCCCATCTCGGCCGGCCTTTTCGCGCGCTGCGTCGCGTTGTCCCTGCGTGTGTGCCAGTTTGGCGACTTGCCTCGGCGCCTTTGCGCAGTGCCCCGCGGCGCCCTCTGCGCGCGCCGCTGCTGCGGAACGGGGTAAGTGGTTTCGGCGACTTAGTCGCTAGCCCCATGCTGCTTGGCGTGCGCAGGCCCTGGGCTCGGAGGCACGTGCAGCGCCGCAGCCGTGGCTGGCACACACAACCGCGCCGGGGGTCGCCGCAGATGATCGCCGGCGTCTGGACTTCGTCCTGTTTGGCGCCACTCGCCTTGGCGGGGCCCTTTGCTGCGATGTGATGCTGGTCTCGCCTGTGGGCCACCCTCACCTGCAGGCTGCTGAGCACGATGGCTCCGTGCTGGAGGTAACAGAGTTGTTGTTAACGTGGACAGCTTCCAGGGGACGACAGCCTGTTTATACTGGGCCTGCTTCCCAGCTATGCCTGCGTAACCTGGGGGCGGTCCAGTGCGCTGGAGAACCGTCCCAGCTAAAATAATCGGTCTGCAGTGCAGCACTGTTCCAGGGTAGACAACGGTCAACGCCACTGGGGGCCGGTCCAGTATAAAAAGGCATCTGGGGGGTCACACATGGCATCCGACGGGTCGCCGAACCTGGGGGACTTGTGGAGACGAACCAAGCCGTCACCCTGCATGGCCCCAGCCCCGGCCGGTGTCCTGAGCCAGCTCTGTCCGTGGTCTCTGTCTGGTCGTCCCCTGTGGTTGTTGCACGCCTCTTCGCAGCCAGCGGAGGCTGCCGCATTCGGTCGGCGCGGAAGCCCGGTACGTGTGGCCGTCGTGTGGGCATTCGTTGCACCTCGGTTGCGTGGCGCACCTGTGTGTGAACTCCCGTGCGAAGTCGTGTCCGTTTTGCCGATCTGGGTGGTGATTCACGCAGCAGTGTCGAGAGCAGCAAGTGTCCTTGCCTCAAGCTGCACCTTCTTACAACTGTGGATTCCTGCCGCCAGGCCCTCCGGACTCCGTCGTTGCCTTTTGCTGCCATCACCTCGCGTTGGTGGATGTGGTCACGCCCTGAGTCGGGGCAGGCTTCGTTGGGCCGCCGGGCGGGGCCTCAAAGCTCCTGCAGAGTCTCGACGGTCAGGTGGCAAGCTCGCTGGCTTGGGCCGCACGCAGCGCCCCGGCGGCGCAGCCCCTTGCTCCTGCCCCTCCCGCCGCCGGCGCAGCTGCGGGGACTTCTTGGATTTCCCGCGGCCCGCCTGGCGCTTCAGCACCCCCCGGTGGGAACAGTTGGTTTTTCGCTCCGCTTTTGCAAGCTGGCTGAGGCTCCGGAGGCGGTGTCGAAGCGACACTGACGAGAAGCATTTCCCGCGGACTGGCCATGAAGACAGATCCACCCTCGCGGGACGCGACATCAACTGCAAACACTCGAGGACCATGTTCTGCAAAGCAAGGGGGAGACGGCACCCCTGCAGGCCTTCAGGGGGGGATCTGGCACGGTGAGGCAGGATCAGCAACGAAGGCAAGTCCAGTCAGGTTCCCACCGCCCCTCCGACCCACGCCATGTGACGGGAGGGATGGGCCCCTCCCGAAGTTGTAGATTTCCAGCCTCTCCCCAGCACAGCTTCTTCCAGATCTCGTCGCCGCCCCCGGACTTTCCGGACTGACGGCTGCTTCGCAAGGCCTGCGTTCTGGCGACTGCCTTGCGGCCTTCCTGGATGATCTGTACGTGTTCACGACGGCCAGTCGTGCACGTGACAGCATCGATGCTGTCACAGGCGCAGTTGAGGAGTATGCTGGGGTCTCCTCGAACCTTGGTAAGACCCGGGTGTATAGCCGCGCCGGAGGCCCCCCTCCCCCGGCATTGCCGAGCTGGGGCCAGAGGTGTGGCGTGGCGACAAACCTGCGCCCGAGCGTGGCTTCGTCGCTTTGGGCGTGCCCATCGGCAGCCCGGAGTTCGTCGAGAGATGCTCTGGTGAGCGGCTCGCTGACCAACGGCGCCTGCTTGCTGAACCCTGATCTCCAGTCCGCGTGGCTTTTGCTCTTGTTCTGCGCCGCGCCGCGTGAGCAGCACCTCCTCCGCACGCTTCCGCCTTCTCAGTCGGCGGCTTATGCTGCGGCCCACGACCACGCCACGTGGGACACACTGCAAACCCTCCTTGGCGAGCCCGGGGCGGATTGGCCTCACGCCCGCGCTTGCGCCTTCCTCCGCCTTCCCGTCGTGGCACAACGCCGGCCCGAGGCTGCTGAGCGCTGCGTGCGCGAGCTGATGGTGGGGGATGAGGCGGCCGCACCTTGCCTCCGCGAGGCAGCCGCGTGCGGCGACTTGCTGCGCCTCTGCGGCTGGGATGCATGCCCGTCTTGGCATGTTGTGTTGGCGCGTGCTGCGCCGCCTGCTTCCCCCGACAGCGACCCTGGTGATTGGCCACATGGTTGGCAGCTTCGCGCGTCTCGTGTTCTTCACACCTACTATCGCGAGCGCGAGTTGTTGCCTGTCATGTCGCCGTCCGACCGGGCGTGCTTTCGCTCCCAATCTGGGCCTCAAGCAGGGGCTTGGCTCACTGCCGTCCCCACTGACGCCGGCACCACCCTTCCTCCAGCCCACATGCATGTCGCCTTGCGCCGGCGCCTTCGCCTGCCGTTGCCACTCACGCATGGGATGTGCGGAGGTGCCGGGATGCCGGGCTGTGGGGGGGCGCTCGACGCCCTTGGCGACCATGCCGCAGCGTGTCCTCGCAGCGGTCTCCTCGCTCGCCGCGCCCCCTTAATCGAGCAGGCTTGGGTTCGCGTCGCGCGCGAGGCCCTGGGCCCGGAGGCTCGTGTCGTGCCGCAGCAGTGGCTGGCGCACACGACCGCCCCTGGGGTCGCCGCGGATGATCGCCGGCGCCTGGACTTCGTCCTATATGGCGCCACTCGCCTCGGTGAAGCCCTTTGCTGCGATGTCACGCTGGTTTCGCCTCTGCGCCGGAATGGCCGCTCGCAGCCACGCGCTGCTGAGCACGATGGTGCCGTGCTCGGAAACGCGCTACCCTGAGCTTGCTGGCCCTGGCCCACAGCGGCTCGTCGTCCTCGCCTGTGAAGTCGGCGGGCGCTTTGGTTCCGAGGCGTTCGACCTTGTTCGCCGCTTGGTGCGCGTCCGGTCGCTCCGCGCCCCTGCGGCACTGCGCCGCTCTGCTGCCGTTGCGTGGCAGCGCCGGTGGTGGGGCCTCCTCGGCGTAGCTCTCCAGCGCGCCGTGGTGTCCACCCTGCTGGGCGGCGCTTGGCTCTCGCCCGCGCAGCCTGCTGCGGATGCGGCGCCGGACCTCGGCGACGTCCTCGGCCTCGGGGACGCGCCTCTTCCAAGCCGCCTGCCCCTGCGAGGGTAGTCGTATGGCGTTCTTCTCGCCTTTGCTGCCTTCTTTGTCTCGCCTCCTTCGGCGCCGGTCCAAGTTTCACCGCGTGGGCAGACGCAAAAAGGTGCGCGCAAGAAAAATAATTAAAAAACATCGTGTGCTGCAATTGGTTGCCCAAGCGCGCATTCCCCGCGATGCAGCCAGAGCGCTCGGGCTTGGGCGGCTCATCGCTTTGCGCAAGCCCAACGGCCGGATCCGGGGCATTGTTGTCGGTGATTTCACCCGTCGCTTGGTCGCCCGTGTCTTTGCCCAACACAAAGCCGACACCCTCCAAGAGACACACCGCCCCTTCCAGTTCGCCCTGTCGACCCGGGCAGGTGCTGAGAGCGTTGTTCACTTCCTTGCGGCCGCTTTGGAGTCGAACCAGCGACCATCGTCTCGGTCGTGTGAGTCGCCTGTCCATGTTGCAGGGCCTGCGTGGCGTGCAGCTCCTGGCGTCGCGAGCCAGCCATGACCAGCTCCTGCAGCGTTTGATGGCTTGCAAGCGTCTTGGTTGCTACTGGTTTTTTGTTGCTCTCCCCGCTGTCCCCCGTTGGTCACGGCCAAGTACGCCGGTGCCCATGACTCGGCTATTCTGTCGACTTTCGCGGACTTTCTTGGCGTCGACGGTCTTCCCGACCAGGCTCGAAGGATCGCCCAGTTGCCGCGTGCGGCGCAAGCTTTCCTCCGTGACGCAAGCGCCCTGCCTTGGCGTGAGCTCTGCGCGCCGGCCCCGCAAGAGGACGGGCCGCCCGCGGATGGCAAGGGGCTGCGGCCGCGACCGTTGTGTGCCCACCAGCCCCGCCCTGGATTGCCCCTTCTGCCCCGCTGAGGCCGGGGGCCGCCCGGGTACAAATGTGCTTTATGTGAGGAGCTGGCCTCCATAAAAACCGCCGCCAAGACCCCTTGTGCCCAGGGGCATCCCCTAACTTTTCTGGGCGGGGGGAGAACCAGGATGTTGGAGGAACCATGCCCGCCCAGCAAGCTGGTCGGCGAAGGAGGCGTGGCGGGCGCGGCAACCCTGGCGTGGAGGCCGCCAGTGTGCCATGCGACGCAGCCCCTGTCAGCGTGCGCACTTCATTGGTGCAAGCCCTGCGCCACACTCAGGCCGCCCATGATGCGGCAGTGAGAAGCTAGCGCCAGCGGGAGGCTTCCCCTTTACAGACGCAGGCGCAGGCTGCCTGCAGGCAGCGCTTGTCTGCCAGACCACCCGCATCCACAGCGTGCGAGAGCGGAAGTTCCTGCTGAAGTTGTCGCGGCCCTTGCCTTGGCCCGCCTCACAGCCCTCCGCAAACCGAACGGGGCGGTCCCTCTACCCTTCCGGCGGTTGGTCCCGCGCGTTCTTGCCAAAAAATAGGCACACGTGTTCGACGCTTCTACGCAGCCGTTCCAATACGCGTTGCAGAGATGCGCTGGCACAGACGCTGCGGCAGCGGCCCATTGTGCCAGCAAAGTTCCCGTTTCGCGGCCCAAGGCCCCAGCAACCCGCACTGTCAGCATCATCTGCAGGTTGCAGCGCGCCAGTGCATGCATTGAAGTCACCGCCCACAATCGAAATTGCATTCCTTCGCTCGGCATTGTCAAACAAATTGTCAGCAAGTTGTACACTTCGTCAACCGGCAAGCATCCTCCCAAGTTGTAGGAAAATAGCAAGCGCTAGGTGAGATTGAAATGCCGACTCCGCGGTGCGATTTCCCACCATTGGCAACGTGAAACTCTCTTCCGTCTCCCCTCGCCATGAGCTCCAGTTTGAAATCCTCGCAACTTACTTGGCGAATGCTTTGTAAATTCTTTGTCGCTACATGCAATTGGATGAAATCATGAACATCATTCGCTGCGAGGGGTTGTGGCCCATCACCACTTCCATCTGCAGGCTTTCTGTTGCCATGTTTTTGCCACTGTCCCTACTCCAAGTGTCCGATGGCTGCATGAGAATGTCCCAACAGAGGCCGTCAAGACTGCGCTTGCGGGCTTCATCTGACCATGGGGATTTGTACCACAATGTCTTGTGGAGCTTGCGTGCCCAGCTCAATCAGGAACTTCTGCAATGATACCATCTCTGACAATTGCCCCTTCGCTCTTGCCAGGGCCTTGCACAAGTCCTGCCGTCCGACCTTGGGATCCGTAGCTTCCTGCCAAGCGAAGCTGCCTTCTACTTCGACTCCCAACATGGAACTCTTCGCACAAGCAGCTGGACACAGACTTTTTTGAATCGCTACACGTGTGAAGCAGGCCAGGATGGCTTAGTTACGGCCTTGCCTGGCGTGTCGTCATCCAAGCAGCTGCTTGTTCGCCTTGCTTCCCCAAACCTGATGCAACCTCTCAGTCAGTTGTTTGTGTTGTCTACTTGGCAGTGCTGCTGGGGAGCAGGGAGTGGGACAAACAACATGCAAAACACATGTTTCAAACACTTCTCTGGTTTCGGGCTTGCGACGGGCGCTCTCCGAGGTGAGGTGGCCGCTGCGTGGAATACGGCAGGCAATTGGCGCTACGTGACAAGGCTTGAACGGATGAAAAACCAAAGGAGCCGTTTTGAGTTTATCAAGTGCACAGTGTCAACTTGTGATCTTCTTACTTGACTAGCGGAACGTTTCCCATGCCCACCCCGCAAACGCAAATGGCGGGCCAGGATGTTTGAAGGCGGCCAAAAGTGCGGCTACACGGTGAAGGAGTTTGCCTGATATTTGAATCCAGGCATGCCGTCCATTTTGTGTAAGTGCAGGTATCGCTCTTCGTCAGAATTGCTAAGCACAATTCTCACCAGAAGGGGAGGGAAACCGATTTGAGGGCGCGAGCGCGGTTGACTGGAAATTATCATGAGCACTCTCTGAAGGTCGCCGAATTTTGCATGGCCTCGTCCCAAGAACAGGAACAAAACGCAACTACGGCTCTTGCGCTGGGGATGTTTCCTTGGGGAGGGATAGCGTGTCCAAGAAATCATCCCTTGACTCCCGCTCCGAGAGGATTTGGCCCTGACGGCCGGGGAGCGGGGCTGCGCAGCCTCCCACGTCAAGGCCTGGCGACGATGCGCCGCCTCGAGGAAAGCGCTGCTGGTGATGGAGGCGTGGGAAAACATGAGTGGTTTGTTTGAGGGCACCCTTCTAGACTTGAAACCAGAAGCAAACCAAGCATTTCAGGGCGTTCCCATGTGCAAACAGGCATGAAAAAGGGGCTGGTTGGGCTTGCAGCGCAGGGATGTTGCAAACTATCAACGGCATTCTTAGGGGTGTGTGGGCAATAAACGAAAGACGTGCCATTTCGGCAACCAGTTGCCTGTAAGATCGTGTGTTTCGGAGTTCGCTTCAAAGCTCTGCGCTTGTTGGAGGCATGTGGCCTCCGTTGCCAACGATGGGGTGAGTCCTGTTTGAATCTGCGCCGTTGATGATGATACAATTAGCGAAGTGAAGCAACTGAGCCAGTGGTGTTTTTTGGGCTGAAGTGCAAATTGGCGCCTGGCATTGCGGTGCAAGCCGTAGTCGGCAGCGGTGTGCATGCCGGCTTGTGGACTTGCCCGTAAGCAAAACAGATGTGCCTTGCATGAAACACGTAGGCAGATACAGCTGTGCGAGATCACTGGTACATGTCACCAATGATCGAATGGGAGTGTTGTGTAGCAATGTGCTTGCTAGCGGATGCTAGCGTGCAATCCATTTGCTTCGGTCATTTTTGTTATAGCCGGCATTGCTTTGATAGAGATGTCGGCTCACGTATGGGGACGGTTCCAGCTACTTTCGTGAAGTCTTGCAAGCACATGACTGAGTTGCAGGCCCACTTTGCATTGATAGGACGATGCTCGACCAAAGCGCGTGTTCGCAGCAGCATTAGGCCGGACGGGGGGGGGGGGTTATACATCCGCAACCGCGAGCGACTAACAGGCGCACGGGAATGGACAAGTGACTGATATCGCAGCTGTGCTTAGCAGGGTGGCAGAAAGAAGAGCCCATGTCACAAGTTGCGAGACGTAATGAATAGACTCTTGAGCCCTGAAGCTTGGCCAGCAACGCTTTGGCCAGCTCACAAGATGAGCCAGGTGACTTGTTTGAAGCCAGTGGCGCCTTCGTTTGTGCCATGTGGATGTACCTTGTTCCTCACTGGGGCCGAGTTGCGGCTGGGCAAGGGTCCGCTGGCTTGGTGGGGGTTGGGTTGGGTTTGGGGGGGCGTCGCTAGTTCACTGACCTCCAGAAATTTGCATGAGCCTCGGGCTGGCAAGAACAGGGCGGGCTTTGTGCTAATTTCAAGGACTCAGTCAACCAACGCCGCACATCACTAGTCCACACTGTTCTGAATGAAAGTTCTAAGACAAATGCGACGCTTGACATATACTCGAGCACCCCCCCATGCATTTTGACTGCCAGGCAATGCGCTGCAGGAGCTGCGCGGGAAAGCCGCGCAGGTCCTGTGGCTGGGCTACGTGCGGGCCGCGCCCTGGCGCCGTGCCTTGCCGGAAGTGAACTCAGAAAAAATGGCAGCGGACAAAAGAATGCATAGCTCCATGGCCCCAACAGCGCGCCTCAGTGATGCGTCAAGTGGCCAGTCAGGAAGGTCGCTGGGTACTGAACCAGTCCGCCATCCCTGCGGCGCATGAACCATGCAACGGGAATGTTCAACTTGTTTCGCTTGCTTCAGTCGGGCAGTCTTGGGCTGAGGCACGGTGGGGCCCACGGTCCGTGAGGCAGAGTACCTTTGGACCACTGTGGCCTACGTACTGTGGCCCTCGGGTGCCCGAAAGCTGCTGCAGGCGCTGCCAGGCGGAGCCGCGTTTTTTTCCCGAATGAGCAGCGCAAGGGTTCCCGTTTAAAAAGAGGTCGGCCTGGGGGTTAGGACGTGACCGGAAGTCGTTGAATTTACGTCCCCAAGCGGTCGCAAGCGTCCGCAAGCGTCCGTATGTGTTTGCGAGTGTCGCGGTCGCAGTTCCAATGGGGAAAGCGAAAACGTGCCAAGTAGATGACTTGAAGCGTCTCATTTTTCGTGAGACGTTGTTTTGCTGCGCAGGCGCAGTGTTTTGTGAAGGTTCACGTTTGCGTTGCAAATCCCTTGTGATTTGCGTTTCAGGGGTCGTCGTTTTGAGGTGTGTTGCTTGGAATGCGCGCGCAAGCGTTTCCTCGAATGTTGTTTTCGTTGGCCCTGTTGTTCAATCGGCTAGTTTTCACGACTTTAGATTTGCAAGAAATCGGTCGTGCGATGCGAGAGTGTCAAATTCTGATTTCGTGGCAGGCTCAGCATTTTGAGCGCTTTGCGTGTCGCTGTAACGTCATTTGTCGTGACGGGCGCAGCACTTTCGAGCTGTTCGTGCAGATAACACTTGAGAGCTTTTTGTGCAGATTTCGTGGTAGGCGCATTACTTTCCAGCTTGCATGCAGATTTCGTGGCAGGCGCAGCACTTTGATGGGTCGAGTCGCTCTCGCTGTGGCGTAGTGCGCGTTTGGAGATTGCAAAGTCAACCCTCTGCGGATTTTGGGTGGGTTGAATCGCTCTCGCTGTGGCGCGGTGCAGGTTTTGAGATCGCAAAGTGAGCCCTTTGCGCGCTTTGCGTGGGTCGAATCGCTCTTGCTGTGGTGCGGCTCACATTTTGAGACTGCAAAGTGACCCTCTGCGCACAGGGGGGTTGAATCGGTCTCGCTGTGGCGCGGCGCGCATGTTGAGCTCGCAAAGTGAGCCCTCTGCGCACTTTGGGTAGGTCGAGTCGATCTCGCTGTGGCGCGTTGCACATTTTGAGATCGCACAGTGGATGGGTTGAATCGCTTTCGCCGTGGTGCAGGGCACATTTTGAGATCGCGAAGTCGTGACGAAACACGTGACGAGAGATGTGACAAGAAACGCGAGTCGTGGCTAGAAAACATGAGAAAGACCACGAAAGACGGGACGGGAGATGTGACGGAGTTGTGACGTGAGGCACATCAACACACATGATGAGAGATGTGATGAAAGTTATGACGAGAGACGGGGCGCCAAAGACGCGACCATAGGCGTGACGATGCGGCGCGCAGGAGAGCTGCGACGAGAGACGTGACGAGAAATGCAAGAAGAGACGTGACGAGGATCGTGACGCGAGAGGTTACCAGAGACGGGACGGCAAATATGACAAGAGTCGTGTGGAAGAGACGTGGCGAGGGTCGTGACCAGAGACGTGACTAGAGAGACGTGACGCGAGGGGCGACGACGCACGTGACGGGAGACGTCTCCAAGAAAGACGTGATGGGAGATGCTACGTAGTCGCGACGAGAGGCGCGTCGAGACACGTGATGAAAGATGTGGTGGTGAAAGATGTGATGAAAGTCATGACGAGACGTGGCCAGAGTTGTTATACAAGAGACTTGTCAAGAGACGTGACCAAAAGCAAGACTAGGTACGTGACGAAAGATGAGACTAGAAACGTTGTTACGTGAGACGCGACAAAGGACGTGATCAAAGACGTGACTAAGAGACGTGACCAGAAAAAAAGAGACACGCGACAAGAGACGCTGTTACGAGAAACCTGACAAGGGGCATGACCAGAGACGTGACTCGAGAAGAGGCACATCCAGATCTTCAACGTGGCGATAAATGTCATAAGAGACTTGTGAGGAGAGATGTGACGAGATTGGACCAGAGACGTGACGAGAGATGTGACAAGAGACGTGTGAAAAGAGATGCGCCGAGCGTTGTGACGAGAGACGTGACCAGAGACGTGACGCGAGGGCCGACGACTCATGCGTGACAAGAGACATGACGAGAGTTGCCAGGAAAGACGCGGCGGGAAACGCGAGACACGTGATAAAAGACCAGAGAGGCGACGCGAGGGGTGACGACTCACATGACAAGAGACATGACGGGAGTCGCCAAGAAAGGCGTGATGGGAGACGTGACAGAGTTGTGACGAGAGGCGCGGCAGCACACATGCTATAGCAACGTGACTAGAGTCGCGACGCGAGATATGACAAGAGTCCCCTTTCGTGTCCGCATTCGGTTTCGTGGCTTCTTTCAGGTTTTTTTTGTTGATACTATTTTATTTACTTTTTGAATTTAATTTTGTTTTTGTATGTGTCTAGACTAGGCAGATTTGCAGATTGCTAGAGACATGATATAAAGGTCAGGGTCCAATCAGACCGAGGGTTCAAGACATCTTTCTTCGGCTGGCTCGAGGTTTGCAGTAGTCGCAACATCATTTCCCACGACCACGTTTTTGATCGTGCAGGGTTTTTGCTTGTGGATGTTTTTCCAGATCGCTGCCTTGTGTCCGCCCAGTGAATCAACCTGTGGACAACTTCATGTCGAATTTGGTGTCCCAGCGCAAGCTGAAGGGCTTCGCGGTGGTGCCGCCGTTGGCTCCTTGGCAAGCCGTTAGCGCACGGACATGTGGTTTCAATGTGCTTCAGCTTTGAGCGCCATGCTTCCAAAGGGGGCCTGATGCAGGTGTTCACTACTGCGCGAGTGACATGACTTCTGCCGAAAACGGCACCCCCACAGATCTTTGGTAATTCTGTGTTGTTCTTTTGGTCGCATGCCCGTTGTGTTGGCCACCTTTCAAAGCTTGCCGCTTGTTTCGACTGAGCTTGGGTCTTAGATGATGTGTTCACGCACTTGGCTCGCGACGTCCCAGGTATCGCAAGCCAAACCATGGAATGAGGACAATGACATCGTCCACTCAGATGACAAGGCTACCGCGGCATGCAAGCTTCAAGATGGCAACTAGCTCGCGATTGCTTGTTATCCAGCGATGTTCGCAGGCATGGGTGCAGAACTGCGCGAAGTGAGGAGCAAAATTGGGGGCTCGAGGCCAATGAACAAAAGCGATCTCAGCGTTGAGTTGGGAGTGGGTTGAGCTGAAGCCTGAGGGGTGAGACGAGAGGGGCGGAGAGCGCTGTGATGGTCGGGCATGATAGGTTGGTGTGGCCCGCGCGCTTTCTCTTTGGCTCAAGAGGGGTGGCCAGCCCAGGCTTTTTGCGCCAAATCACGGAGGCAAGTTGAACCATAGCCAGCTTTCAAGAAACAAATGGGTGTTTTTTTGAGGACAACCTTTTGGGTTGGTTGAGAGGGGAAACTAGAAACAACCAACCATTTTGCGGGTTCCCCGCATTTAAGACAAATCCACTGCTGCATAGAAATGAGGTCACTGAGGAACGGTGCAGTGGTGCCAGAACAAGACTGCAACTTTGCCTCGCACTCCTGAACTTCGGATGCATGAGCAGCTTTGGCAGGCGCTGAGGGGAGCGTGGGAACAAGAGGCCCCTCGTGAGGCGTGTGGGGGTGCAGGGCATTTCTCTTGGGGACGTTCTGAAGGCGCACAGTTCTATCGAGGTTGATTTGGGTTCCACGTTGCCCTGGTCTTTCGATTGTCTGAACTAGGAAGGGGTGAATTTGGCAATGGCGCCTGTGCCATGGTCAAAACACACTTGGGGTTGCCAGGGATGATCATGAACCCTCAGTAGATAAATTTAGACAACCATTTAGAACCCCCTTTTAAGGACACTGCGACCATGACCCAACACAGTGATTCGCATGTCTGCTGATAGACATGTCAGAGCACCCGCGGCTACGTAGGGCGCCAGAGTCCTTTTTCAGCCTGGCCTGTGCTCATGCCCTTAGTGGGTTGGCGCGGGCGATTTAGGGTTTAGGGGGCCCTTTTTTGTGGCAAGAAGTAAGTTGTAAACGCCAAAGGCACCTACTCAAAGGAGGTGTCGTCTTTGCCATTGTAAAGACAGGGCGCAGGAGAACTTCCAATTTGCGCCTATCGAGGATCTTCTCCAGAGGCAAAGCCGGCCCACCCAGGGAAGGGTTCAGAGTTTTCTTGGGGGTTTTAGACGGGCTCTGTCGCCCCGAATGTCTACTTTGACTCAATGGGCCAAACCAGCCTTGCTTCTTGGCAGGGCTTGGTTCTAGCTGTGGGCTATGCGTCCTTTCTCTTTCTGACCTCGAACCTGCCCGCAACCCACATTGGCAATTTAAGGTACGATCTATTTCGTAGGGTTAAGGCCCCAAAATGAAATATACAGCTTCATAACTTCATAACCGTGTAATACCTTCACAATACGTCAATGGCAGGGCTGAGGCCTGAACCTTTGCAGCCCGAGTCTCAGGCCGCGGTGCCGGTGCTGTGCCTGGACCCGCAGCTGCGCGTCACGGCGCCTTTCGCGCGATTTGGGGCTGAAGGGTGGTGGCAGGGGGGGGGGGGAGGAGCCTCTGGTCGGGCCTGCGGGCGTCGCGTTTCCGCTGTGCAGTTGTTCATGTTTTCTGACCAATGGAAACCGCCGGCTTCTTTTTTTTTTGGGGGGGGGGAGGGGGGTGGGCTGAATCTTGATACGAGGCGGAGGTTGTCTTCGGCAGCGTTTGGTTAATCGAAGAGGGGCCGAGAGGGTCTGCAAGCAGCGGTGCAGCTGCCAATGCTAGACTTTAATTCACTTGAGTACTCGCACGGTGCTTAAGACTGTTCGCATATTGGCAGTCGATCCATCATGCAGGTGTTTTGTACCTCCGAATAGTACCGTGGTTTGGGATGCTGAGCATATTTGCATACAACAGCTTGGGCAGTCTTGTGCGGCCTCGGAATGGTTGCACGTGGTACTGTTGAGCGTGCCCCCTGTTTATTTGTCTTCCTATTTGTTTGCAATTTGCAGAGCGTTGGAATCAGGAGAGGTAGCAAGAGAACAGTTCAGATTGCCAGTGCTGCATTGCAAGCATACCGGATAGTTCAGCGCATAAAGCCAATCTGGCCTGGGGAAATTCATCAGATGGCGTTGCTGTGCGTGTCGACCGTTGCTGGATTCTTCTCAACTTCTGTGCTGTAACGGGAGGTTGCCAAATATGATGCAATCAGCTGCCAAGAATTCTTTGGCCAAGTGTCCTTCGGATGTCGTGCAGCTGTAGTGATACAAACTGTGGCTGGGACAAACAGGCTACTCATCGTCACAATCTCACTTGAGGGTTGCCTTTTATTTGGGCTTAAGAGTTTTGTCTCCACATCCCTTGTTTTCTTTCCTCCGGTTCAGCATAGTTTGAGCTCGCCCCTAGAGGGATAGAAGGTCTCAACTTTGTGAAGCCATCGGCCATCGGCACATGTCGGAGCACTGGCTGTGGCTGGGAGGTCGTTGGACGAGATGGGGTTTTTAGCACGTGGAGACAAACCCTGATTGGTTTTGTCAATTTTCTTGCGATGGGGCAAGTTCCCCAAGCCAGGGCACTGCGCTTCAGGACCGAATCACTTCTAGTTGCTGGCTCGCAAGGAATGCGAGAATGACCCTTCGATCAAGGTTCCCATTGCAGATTTCGGACTGAGAGCCAGCAATGGCGGTGCCCAAGAGACGGGGTGGGCCACTCGTTTCGCCAGGTATGGAACGATGCAGCCGCGCAGGTTGGGGGAGGGGTCGCCCTGTCGCATGCCGAGAGTTGGGAAGGGTGTGCGTGTTAATGGTCTAAAATGGGTTCTTTGAACCTGCCTAGCAGCCTCCAAAAGGTCTCCCTGTGCATAAGATCATCAGATCTTAGCTGCTTGTGCCAGACTGCCCGAATTGGGTACCCGGCACCCCTGCAGATAACGGCTTTGCGCAACACTTTCCAGCGCTGCGTGCCACCCAGGAGCTAGCTGCAGCACAGCCACCTCTTCGATGCTTGCTGTTGCTTGATTTTAGCCTAGATTGATTGCATGGCATTTCTTGTCTTCCTTGCCTTCAGTGCTTATTTACGATTGCTCCCTTTCCATTTGCCCGCTGTTGCTAGATTCCAGATACCATATCACACCGCCGACCGAAACATGTCCCTGGGAAAGAATCAGCACGACTTCTGGCCCGCAACAAGCTTCTTCCTTACCCTGATTCACAAATTCGAGAAACGAGTCAACACCATGCACTTGGCAAGCCTCCAGGAACACTGTTTACCCAAAAGAATTGGAGAAAGCAGTGTGTCCCCTAGGCCAGCAAGAAGCGAAAGTGGACTCGGTCCCTGCCCTCGGCAGCTCCTTGCAGGCCACTGGCAGGGCTGCAGCAGAGGCGTGGAATGTCAAGCGGGGTCATGCTCTCTTCCTTGGGCCATTGAAAGAGGAGGACTGTCAAAAGCAGCATTTGGCACGGAGAGGCTGATGGCTGTACACGCGTTTGTTGAAAGAGGAGGCTGATGGCTGTTTAAGAAACAGCACACATGCACATGCAACCGCATGTTTGTTGTTTGCAAGTCCGGCTGATGAAGGCTGCAAGCGACCCGAGTTGTTGATTAGCAAGGAGCAGGTTGCTTGCCTGTTGCACGGCACACCTCTTTGCTTCTGTCTGTGGGAAGCACGTCATTGCAAATTGGCCCGTCCAGGGAAAAACAACAACGATGACACATTGGAACGTTTACGTTGGGCGAACTGAACCTGCAAGCAGTAAGTCAGATTCCAATTTGCAAATTGGGATGCTGGCCAGCTTTGGCCAGAATGTTCGTGGGCGTGCCTTCCGCGCTGCCAAGCCACGCCATTGACTTCCAAGGTGTGCGGCCGGCCTCTGCTGGACTTTTTGTCGCTTGAGGCCAGCAAGGGATGCCCTGCCACTTGCGGTTTCTGCGGTTTCTGTTGTTGTGGCTGCTGTTGCTGTTGTTTCTGCTGGTGCTGGTGACAGGTGGGCTGGCCTTTCCAAAGGGCAACAGCTGATTCGCGTGTACTCAACTCTCTCCTGAAGTTCCCTGTGCCTCGCGTCCTCTGCAAGTTTGTACTTAGTTGTGTTGCGGCGTGCGACATTTCGACGTCAGCCGTTGGAAGTTTCTCCAGACCAAAATCCCTACGAAAAAGAAATCGACGTCCGTGGAAGTTTTCCAGACCCAATGTGGGTCATTCGCCTTGCCCTGCGGCTGGTTCTCAGGCAGGCCGCTCGCTGACGGCACGGCTTGAGGCGGCGCCAGACGAGAGGCACACGACTGGAGAATTTCAGTCAGGGAAGGCGTGTTTTTCCGCGTTGGGGAAATGCAGGGCTTCGCATCTCGTCGTCCCAAAGAAAACTAGGGGTGTGGTTGATTCGACTGCCTCGGAGGAAAAGTAGCCGCATTGCGTTTCAAGTGGATAGAAGTCATGTAATTCACCATGTTCAGAGCTTTTCTTCAGGTGAAACCCATGTTTAATAAATATATGAACAAGGATGCACGTAAGCAAAAACATAAGGAACGCATGGCGAGGATGCACATGGTCCAGGATATGCCCTTGCTGGGCCTACGGAAACACACCCGAACTGCGCTTGGGCACGATTTGCGCTCCTGAGTTTGCAACAACCTTAAATTTGCGCGCGGAAGCCGCTCGACAGCGAACCACAAGTGTTTTGGAGCATTTATATAATGATAGTCAGAGTGTCCTTGGACCTTTGCACACGCCCGATCTTTCACGACAGAGAAAAACGCTGATAGGTTGCTGGACTGTGACGGGATTGCAAGAAGTTGTGGTGTGATGCGGTTCAACTGCCCAGAGCAACCCCCACAAGGGCCGGCGGCCGTTGTTTTACGCCTGTAACGGGAGACTCACTTCTCCAAGGTTTTAGCCAATCAGCCGGATCTGGAACCTGCCGCTGCTTTGCCATGGCTCCAGTCAGAACGAGCGGCAGAGCCTCCCCCGAGTGTCAAAACCCTGGCGCCCCAGTGGGGGACGGGGTGGGGGAGGTGCCTCGCGCGCCATGGTCCGGCGGGACTTCTTTGACTTCTGCGCGGCGCCAGGTACGTCGACCAGCTGGGAGGTGCTGCCCCGTGCGGAGGCTGATCTGCAAGGCCCGCGGCGCGCGGCCAGCTTTGTGGAGGTGTGGCGGTTGGGGGGGGGGACTATGTCGCGTTGTTGTCTCTGATTGAAATTCAAATTTTCACATGGTTCTCTCCAAGCTTGTCTGGGAGGAAGGCAGACCGCGAGGCAAAAGCCAGGAAGACGCGTAACAGAGGCAGCTGCAAAGATGCAGGTCGAACACGCCGAATGAAGGAAGATGAAGGTTCCCAAGGGCCGACAGTTTGCCTGGAGTACCGACACACTACGGCAGTCAATGGTCTCGATTTCATTTTTGTGGTTGAACTCTTCTAGCCTTGCTCTTCGCCTGCATCTGCAGAAGTGGCTTTCTGCTGCTAGCTTGGCACCATTGGACCATTGGAAGGAAGAGGATCGCTTACCTGGCACCAAGACTGGAACCTCCAACATGCGCATTCACATCGGAGTCTCCTTTCCATTCTGAGTTTGCGGGTGGGGGGGGTGCGGCCCTGATACGTCAGTTGGGCCCTTTGGCCCATAGTAGGTGCGGTGGCTGGCGCGCCCGCGCATGTCGCTGGGAGCTCTCCCGGAGCTGCGGGTCGCTGGGCCGGCGGAGCCGGATTTGCCGGAGCTGGACGAAGAGATGGAGGACGAAGGCGAGGGGGGGGGGGTGAGGGCCCTGCCCCATTTTCAGAGGTGAGGAATCGTCCCGGAAACTTAGTTTTGGCCAGGTGCCAAGAGACCTGACCGCGAGATGGCCTATTTATATCCATGGTTGGGTCTGAGGTGGTCTAAATTCAGATGATCTGAGTTGGATCCATGTTGGTTGAAGGTTGACTTAGCGCTTGGGTCAACACAAGCTGTTTGCGAAGGTTCATAAGGTGCAAAGGCCTTGTGGCGCGCTACACTGCCTGCTTGCGTAGGTGGGGGAGAGCCCCACGTGATGCACCTTCACCAGTATCACGCAGACCCCATGGACGAGGCAGCTTGAGGGTTGCAGCCCATGGCGCCAGTGAAGGGAGAGGTTTGGGGCAATGCCAGGCTTGATGTTGACCCAGGTGAAATGCGGGGATGCGTCACTTTTGGAGGGGCCATGGCGCAGCGGCCCATGACCGGTTCCATCCCGGGGTGTTGGGCATTTGTGGCAGTGAACTCAACGTAGGGGGTTGTTAGAAGAATTGCCATGTGTTTCCCGAAATGCTGTGTGTGCCCTGGTCACCTTTTGGTTTCCCTTGGACGCATGTGTCAAAAAACGGCCCATTTGAGCCCTACATGTCTTTATACCTGGCGCCTCAGACCACGTACCTTGTAGGCTGCATGGACGGCCTAGCAGATATCCGTTTTGCTGAATCCCTGCGTTCAAAGGCGCATTTCCTGCACAAGAAAAAAACAGGCGCATTTCCTGCACAAGAACAACTCGAACAGGAACACAAACTCGAACCTCCCCCCCCCCCCCCCGGCAAAAACAAAATCGCTCAGGCACACAACTCACACTTGAGCAGCAACCTCCCCCTCCCCTCAAGCTCAGTATAAAACTCCAGCTGGAACTCGAACTCGAGCTCGAACTGCAACCTCCCCCCCCTTTAAAAAGAATCGCTCAGGCGCTCCCCGTACTACAGGAGTCTAGCAAGATTGCTGAGAGTTCCTGTATTTTTCAATCCGAAGTCCCATGCGGGGCGCAATCTACAAACATTGCAAGTAAACTAGCATTCCTCATCGGGTCTGTTGCATAGTCTAAAGCCCGCGTTCACATGTCGAGAGCCGTCTCCACCGCACAGGGTTCACAGGACTTTGGTTCTACCGCCCCAGCATCCCTTGTGGAAAGCCCCACAGAGTCGAACGGCGCGAGGTGGCGGTGGCCATCATCTCCTCGGGGACCACCATCCTTTTCGCCATGCTGGGCGCGGCCTTGGCCATGCGCCTCTTCCGCGAGCTCCTGCGGCCACAGCGGGACTCGGCGCAGGCGCGGGTTGAGGGCTCCTCAGGCTGACCGCGGGCAACGGCGTGGGGGGCTGGGGGTGCAGTGTCGCCGTTGTCGTCATCCGTGGCGTGCTTGGATTGGCGACTTCCGGATTCTACTTGGCTCGATTGTTTTTCAGGCCTTGAGACTCCTTTTCAGTTTCCTGTCTTCCTTTGCAACTATTCTTCACGCAGCCCGCAGCCAATATGCTGTGACTGCAGGGCCACGCAATTGGCGTTGCGGATGCCTGGTCGTTTAGCCGAGGCTGACTCAAAGGATTCTGGGCCAGCTGCGTGATTCAACGCGCGTCTGCGCTGCCATTCTGTCCATCAAATGGACTTGCGAGGATATTTTGAAGCAAGCTTGCCCAAACCCTGGTGGTCAGCTGGTACGCGCAACAAGTTGCGGCCCAGGCAAAAAATATAGTCAAATTGTATCCCGGCGGGTTATCTCTCTTTCTACCACGTTCACCCTTCCATCCACCACATGGGATCTGTTTGTGAGCCCATTCAGTTGGATTCAGTTCAATCCAGAGCCGGGCGCCCCTTTCTAGGGTGAAAATCCTTGCTCAGCACCGGGGAAATAAATTAAACGGACAGTCCATCCAATCACCCTTGCTTTGTCAACATCTTTCTGTTGCTAATGTCCATCCTTCAGTAGCTAAGCTCGTTGTGCGGACAGAGAATGCCCCCCCAGTTTGTCCCCTGATTTTCACCCCCAGTGTTTGATCACCGGGTCCCTGGGTTTCCCTCAAGCCCCCCCCCGCCCCTTTTGCCGTGCGTGCTTAGTGGTTGCCAGGAGGTGCTGCAGATGGATATCCCCGGCATCCAGCCCTTCCAGCCCTTCGGGGGCCAGGCCCACCGCCTGGAGCGGGAGGAGAAGCGGAGCGGGGTGGTGCAGTCCGGCAATGCCGCCGGGCAGAGGAGCGCCCCTGAGGAGGAGCGTTTCGTGTTTTGTGTCCGGATTCTTTTGTTTTTTCCCGGTGCTGGGATGGATCAGCAGGGCACAACGTAGAAAATTCGGGGGGCTTTTTGTAGCTTGACAGCAATGGTCATACCCCCCGGCCCTGCAGGAGAGAGAGCAGCAGAGCCAGGAGGAGAGCGTGTGACATTCTTTGGTCCGGAAAAGAAAAGTGGCGCGGCTTTTCATCCTGCGCTTTCGGACTCACGGAAGCCGCAGTGCTTTTTTTTTGGGGGGATATCGGGCCTAGCATGGCCCTCATGAAAACGTTCGAGAACATAATTGCTGGATCATGGCCGCATGCATGCCGAATGGCACCAGAGGTTGGAGCTCTTGCAAGTGCCTCAAGCATTCCTAAATACTGCCAGGTTTACAAGGAAGAAAGGTGTGGCAATTAGCAAATAGCATGTGCACATTGGTTCGTTCACAGGCAGCCAAGGATTGGTGAGAGCATCCAACTGTTGATGGGACTTGTTGAGCCATGATAACAACGAATGCTCTCAACATTTACACACACACACACACGCACACGCACGCACGCACGCACGCTCGTGAGCATCACCTGACCTTATACGCAGCAGCAGAAACTGCGTGAATCGTGGCATCTTCTGTCCGGGACTCGGGGTTGGGGCCCGCCAGGTTTTACATCTCTGAGTTGCCCACCCAGTCGGAGAGGTGCGGCAGAGCGAAGGGCTTGCCGTTTTCGTGAGGCCTTGGAATTTCCGCTCTTTGTGTCTGTTAAAGCCTAATGGGCCATGGGCTGGAGCTGAGTTTGTTCCAGTTCTCAGCCATTGGTGAAGCCCGGCGCCGGAGCCTCGCAGGCTCCAGTTGCACCTGCTGCCATGCAGGCAGGAAGAAAGCGGGGTTCAGCTGAGGGTCAATCTGCTCCAACAAACAAGGCGACCTCCAAGGAAAATCTTACTTGTTGAATGCGGACGGCTGGGGGCTAGTGACCAGTGGGTGTACACCATTCTTGGCCTTGTGGGATCGTGGGGCGCAACCACTGTTTGCAAGCACATATCAAGAAGCATTGTCCAAGTTGGACAGGATAAGTTTTTGTTGCAGCAGCAGGCAAACGTTGATTGAAGCAGGCTCGTGCTCGCGCGAAGGCCTGGCATATACGAAAGAGACCAAACTGCTGAACACATGAAGCATCAAAGCATGTTCGTTCAAGCTTCTTGGCTGGGGCCTCACTATCTTGCACGCATTGATGCAAGCAGGGTACCAATTTGAAGACGAAGACGCATGGCATGTTTGAACGCCGCCTTCGGGCCTTTTGAAGAAGCCACTGAGCGGAGACGGACATGCTGGCTAGGTTTTTCAGGTTTTAGGGTTGTGGCATTGGCTGGAAGTTTGGTTTGATCATTTTGATCGCCACTGTGAGCATTAGCCAGACGTAAGTGTCAGGAGATCTTCTCAGTCGGACAAGTGGGATGTGAGCATTCTGGCGAAGACGAAAACATCATACAAAGTAGGAATTGTTGATTTTTGAGTTGGGTTTCAAGATTGCAGGGCTTGCAGGGCTTTTGGGTTCAAGCTTTCATGGTTTTAAAATTTCATGCTTTTAGGACTGGGTTTTAGGGTTTCGGTTTATGCTTTAGAGACGTTAGAGGTTGCTTCTCCGAAAGCGCCAGGGTTGTTCAGCGTCAGTGGGAACTTAGGCGCCAGCAAGGCGCTTTCAGAATGGTGGCAACTAGTGGCCATTTGGTGTTTTAACTTAGGAGCCCCTATGGCATGCTGTGCACGCTTACTGCGCACGCAGGCATGCGGGCAGGTCCATGCACGTGGGCACGCATTCACATCCACTCCCCATTTTTTTGATATCGGTAGATGCTGCAATGCTCTTATGATAGAGTTTTATGCGCTTGGGCTGTCAGGGTGTGACTCAGGCTTGGGCTGTGATGAGGGTTCGGTAATGCTTTTAGATGTGGTTTTGACTAACGTTCAGCTTGTTCAAAAACCAATCCCCAATGATTATCAGATTGCGGGTTATGCGGTTAACGGATTAGATTGTGCGGTTTGCATTGCAGATTATTGGTTGCTTAGATTTCCTATGCTTCAAAATACGGTGTTGACCCACAATTTTCAGCGCGGATCATGGATTAAGAAAGTGACCAACCCGAACACGGATTAGGCGGATTACGGATTGTGATTCGAACTACGGAGAAAGTGGTGCTGTAAGTGGTACAGTAGGGTCGTTGACTGGAGCAAGTCTAACAAAGGCTTCGCTAAACCTTGTGTAGCGTTCCTTAGGGTTTAGGGTTGCTGGATTGACGAAGCAAGGTGCGGCTTGAAAGCTTTGGACTGCACCACGGCGGCAGCCGCACCATCGACATCAATCACCACGACCGCCACTACAATACCAACCAGCAACGGCAATAACGCATTACCAGCAACCACAGCAATGACAGCAATACCTGCAACCACCGCCACGCAACAACAGCAGCAACAGCAACAAGAGCAGCGACAGCAACAGCAAGAGCAACAGCAGCAACAGCAGAAACAGCAGCCACAGCAACACGACAACAGCAACAGCAACAACAGCAGTAACAGCAACGCCAGCAGCAACAGCAACAAGAGCAACAACAGCAAAAGCAGAAACGCCAGCAGCAACAGCAAAAAGAGCAGCAACAGCAACAACAACACCAAAAGCAACAACAGCAACAGCAGAACAAGAGCAGCAACACCAACAAAAGCATCCAAAGGAACAGCAACAAGACCAACAGCAGCACCATCAACAACAGCATCCAAAGCAACAACAGCAAGTGCAATTAGAGCAACAGCAACAAGAGAACCAACAGCAACAGCAACAAGAGTAACACGAGCAGCAACAGCAACCACAGCAGCAACAGCAACAAGAGCAACAACAGCAACAGCAGCAACAGCAACAACAGCAACAACAGCAACAACAGCAACAACAGCAGCAACAGCAGCAACAACAACAACAACAACAACAAGAGCAACAGCAACAGCAACAGCAACAGCAACAGAAACGGCAACAACAGCAGTCAGCAACGGCAACAAGGGTAACAACAAGAACAACAACAAGAGAAGCAAAAGAAGGAAGATCAACAGCAACAGCAAAAAAGACAACAGCAGCAACAACAACAGCAGCAACAGCAACGCCAGCAGCAACAGTAGAAAGAGCAACAACAGCAACACCAGCAGCAACAGCAACAATATCACTAACAGCACCAACAGCAAGAAAAACAGCAACAGCAACAGCAGCAAGAGCAACCGCAACAAGAGCAACAACAGCAACAGCAACAACAGCAATGGCAACAACATCAGCAACTGCACAAGAGCAACAACAGAAGCAACAGCAACAACGCAACCAGAGCAACAACAACAGCAGCAGCATCAGCATTTCCAGCAGCAACAGCAACAACAACAACAACAGCAGCAGCAGCAGCAGCAGCAGCAGCAGCAGCAACAACGGCAGCAACAGCAACAACAGCAGCAACAGCAACAAGACAACAGCAGCAACAACAGCAGCAACAGCAGCAACAGCAACGGCAGAAAGAGCAACAGCAGCGAGAGCAACAGCAACAAGAGCAACAACAGCAACAGCAACAAGAGCAACAACAGCAACGGCAACAACAGCAACAGCAACAGCAGCAACAGCAACAACACCAACAGCAACAAAAACAGCAACAGCAACAGAGGCAAGAGCAACAGCAACAAGAGGAACAACAGAAGTGATGCATTTTTGTGCACGCCGCGCCGCAAGGGGCAAGGGCTTTCTCGGCTTCGCCTTGGGCAAGGAGCCCGGCCCCCCGACAGCGGCGCCTAAATATTTGGCGCCGTTTTGGAGGACCGTTTTTTTTTTTTCTTCTCCGGTTTTAACCCTGCCAACATCAACCTCTAGACACACGTTGATGTTTCAATCCTACGAGCCCGCGAGGTTGCAAAATGCCAATCCTGAGCCCACCTCAAGGCATTGTGCGCACCTTCAAGGTTTGATTGCAACCAGTCCGAGGCCGACTCCAAATGAATTTTCATCGTGAGCAGGCTTGACGTAGGGGCCTAGCAATGCATTTGTTTCATTGCTCTCAGGCGACGACTCTCCACCCACAGCCTCTTTTCTTTCGGGGATGTGGCGGCAGCGCGGCTCCAAGCTTCCAGTGACAATCAAAGAGCGGTCAGCGCTGTGAGCGCAGAGTTTAAAAGAAGAAGTTGGTTTTGACTGAATTTTAGCCACGCGTGTAGCAGTCTGTCAGTTGCATATTCTTGGCCTTTTTTAATATTCAAGGACGTCAAACACTGAGAGCTCACAGCGCTGCTTGCAGAAGTCAAAAGGCTGCTGCGGCGAAATGTGGGGCGGCTGCATGGCCAGGAAGCCGCAGATGTGGCTTGGGCGACTTAGGTCAAACCTGTGCCGTGCTTGATGCCCTCTTTCTCGACTAAGGCAAGTGCATTGCAATCGTTTTCCAGCTAATCCCAAGTACTTCCTCCTAGGCCAGGCTGGTTCATTTGGGCTCCAATTGTGGTTGAAACCCTGTGTGTTGGAAGCGCTGAACAACGACTTTCCGTCATTCACAATTGAGGGTGTCCGCAGTATCTTCAGCCATTGTGTTCTTCGGGAAATTTTGACAGAAATTCTTAGAGCTAAGCACTGCAGTTGACCAAAGGCTGAACATTCCGCAGGTCGGGTGCATTTCCTGTGGTCCAAGCCCTGATCCGGTCCTTGTGGCCAGATCAATTCTGGTTTCGGCCGAGGTGTCGGAGGGCTTCGAGACCTGCCTGCACGCGCCCGGGCCCGATCTTTCAAAATAACTCAACATATAAGGGAAGGATAAGACAGCAAAAGCGCCTCATTCTAGTTTTACATGGCCCTCCCCGCCCTATGCTCCTCAAGAAAAAGTGCGAGCAGTCCGCCGAAGTTGACGCATGGCTTCTCCAAATGCTCATTTTTGCAGTCACGTATCGACTTTTGCTTGCGCGGCTTCGCCGCCATGCTGCTTGGCACGTCCGAAGCAGCTCAGTTGTGCAAAGTTGACCTGTGCTCACGGTCCTCCAGACCGATTCTCTCGTTCAGACAGGTCAAGAGATGTGTGTTGGCATGGCCCAGGGGCGCACAGGCAAGAGGTACCTCATGCGATCGCCCCCTCCCCCTTGCGAAATTGCAATCGGCTTGTCTTGTCGCGGTTGAGGGTAGGTTCCACCTTTCGCATGTCCGCCAAGCCCTTCAGCTTGCATTGCTGCATTTGTCATATGCTTTTTCTTTTTAATCACGGCTGAAAGGTTTCTCGCTTTTGGCAACAGTTCCGCGCGAGTCGCACCTGAGCCCAGAAGCCCCAAGGTCCAGCGCGGCCGTCTTCAGCGTCAATGGAAAAGGCGAGTCTGGGACCATTCCCACGTCACAGAGCCCATGACTGATAGCTAGGATGAGAAGGGAAGACAGCCTTGATCAGCCCACAAGGCTCAACCACCGATTCTGGGGCAGCACTTTGGGCTTGGTGGAAGCACCGGCAGCGAATTGAGAATCAGAGCATTGCTGCGCGCCAAGTTTTAGCCATAGCCACTTGTTGAAGGAATATTTGATGCTGTCACCGCCACGCCCGAAATGCGCAAGCGTCATCACAGGTGGGCAAAGCCAGGGACATTCCCAATTGCCCAGGAGCAATCACACAGTGGAATGCTGCAATGGCTGCCCTGATGCCGCCTCAGATGCATTGCAAATTGTCAGGTTTGAGCGTGTTGTTCGCATGTCGCATGCGTACCTGTTGCCACTTGCAGCTTGCCTGCCCATAGGTGCTGACCTTTGGCATGCGACTGACCGACGGCTGCTTGCGTGGATCAAAGGTGTTTCGCATGTCTACGCTTTTGGTTCCAGTCAGCACTCGTCCATGTAGCGCTGCCCGCCCATGGGAATGAATGAGGCCGGGTGGGCTGGGGTTCACTTCCAGGTTGGATTTGGCTTGCCGGACAGTTGAGAATTATGATAGGAACTGCCTAGCTATCAGCTTGTTCGGAAGTGGCTGTTTCCCTGAGAGGCTTGCATCAGCACCAAGGAGGAGGAAGGACTGCGGAAGGACTGCACGATGGCCACAAGTCGGCCTGTTCAGTTTCATGGCTGAGTTCCCAGCAGCCAGTGCTTCTTTATGATAAGCAACCCTGAATTATTTTTCTTGAATTTTCTTGCGGCCCATGGCCTGTCACCGCTTGCCTTAGCCTCGGGGCCGGGTCATTGCACTTGCCGCAGCCGTTGTCGCACGACGGCGCGAGCCGGGGTGGCATGGCGAAGTCCCTGCTGCGCCTGGTGCTGAGCGCTTTAATCCTCAAAGCCGCGCACACGCGGGAGGAGGAGGAGGAGGAGGTGGCGTGCAAGGATGGCTTTGCCTACGAGCACACCGGCACGCCCGACATGACCAATGTGAAAGATGCCCTTGCCTGTCAAGACTCATGTGGACGCCAGAGCAAGTGCAATTACTTCATGTATGACTCGGACACATCAGATTGCTGGCTGTTGCCTGAGGAAGTGCAGTTGAAGGAGAAGTCGACATCCATTGCTGGTCCTCTGGGCTGCCTGGATGCAGATGTCAAAGCGACCGAGGTCAAAGCGGAAACCCCTGCTGAGAGGTCTGAGCGAGTCCTCGGCATGTTGGCCAAGTTGGCGAAGCTGGTTGCCGAAGGAGGCGTTCATCAGCAGGTGTCGCCCTCAATGATGGAGGCTGCACAGGCCTTGGGGGAGGATCTCGAGAAGGCTAGCGACCTCGCGGGGCACAAGTACGAGACCATTGCAGAGATGCTGACCGTCGCAACGATGCTCATGGACGACGCGGAATCAGAAGCGAAGTTCCTGGATGCCGCCAACATGTTGCCCAGCCGCGGCGACCTCACCTGGATCATGTCGAAGACCACTGATACTCGCAAGGATCCTGCAGAAGTTGACGGTGACAAGCTTGGGCTCAATGAAACCAACATACCCAGCGGGGGCTGTTTCCTGGGTTTCCTTGGTCAGTGTGGTGTGGGCCGTGCAGATGTCTCCTTCGGCGCGGGCACGCCTTGGACGAACGCGGAGGTCCACTACTGCTTCGACCGGGCCATCTCCAGTGTCGCGCGCACGGCGGTGGAGTGCGCCATAGGCAAGATCCGGCGCAACGTGCCAGGGATCCGCCGCTTGGAAGAGATCGGCTTAAGGGCTTAAGGGCTTAAGCTTTCTAATGTTGGAGGCTCTGAAAGTCTGCAGGACCTTACACGATGGGATGTGGGGAGTTGCGTTCAAACAGGGCCTTCCGCATTGGCCTTTAGCCCTCCATCGCTCCAAAGCTTCAAAGCCAGGCATCCAATAACTCCAGATACGCAGCTTGACATCTCATTTAGAGTCCCCAAGCGTCACATGCGTATTTTCCAGACTTCATCGACGTGGGCTACAACAAGCCGGGCGCCTGCAACACCGCGCCTGCCATTTTCGTGCAGTCTTCGGCCTCCGGGTGCTATGCCAACATTGGCATGCAAGGCCAGGGTGGGAATCAAAGGCTGATTGTGCGCACCGCAGTTCTTTGGTTGCCCATGAGGCCATCGGGAGCCAACAAACTCGAGGTGTCTATCACTCTTCGTTCTATTGGGTTCGCACTTTCATTGGGCCGGATCTGGAAAAGTTGCCGCTGAGCTGAAATGCAGTTGAAGCCTGCACATCCTACCATGAACCGAAGTAGCGGTTGATTTTGATGATCATTTGTGAGGATCCTACACAATGGGCACCCCTCACTTGGGCAACCATTTGGCACCACCCCGGAGCAGTGGTGCAGACTGTAGGTACCTTTTGGAATCTTAGGGATCAGTGGTGGTGCTTTTGACGAGCTTTGGTTGGGGCCATGTCGCGCATGCCTGCTATTGAACCAGATTGACGGCCCTTCGGAAAACCAGCTGACTAAAGGGGTTGGCCAAATTCAAGATGCCGTTTTTGCGACCTTAGCTTCTGGGACCGGCGAAAAGGCAAGCATTCAGCCCTCAAAGGCTTCGTCCATGACTTTTGGGGTTTTGGGTGGCCTCGTTTCCGGGCCCTTTTCCTGTGTGCGCCAGGCGGGTTCCAAACCCTGCTGGGAAACCAAGTGCTGAATCTGCAGGCGCCAAGGGTGGTTTCGGGGGAGGGAGGGGGGGGGGGCGAGTTCCGGACATCCGGTGGCAGTAGGCCACACCGGGCGTGGCAAGCATTGGTGCCACTGCGGACGCTTGGCGCCAACTTTTTTCTGCAAAGCTCAGGGCCCCCTTGGTGTTGCCGAGCAAACATATGGATTTGAATGCACAAGCATTGCAGAAACCAAACAAAAAGTACACAAGTGGTGTCCTTTCTGCGTGCTGTCGCGCTCCAAGATGGCCCCATCCTTTCATCAAGCTTGGCATTGCTTGTGGCTGTGGCGGTAGTGTGGGCTGTGATTTGTGGGGTGTGGCCTTTACAGAGTTGCCTGCCACAGAATGAATACCAAATTCCTGGTGAGGCGTGCAAGCTTGGCTGCCCAAAGGCATTCTTCCTCCAGGGTACGTAAGGGGTCCGCTGAGTAGTGGTTCTATCTACGGGTTCAGGAGCTGGCAGACAACGAGTTATCCAACAATGATCATGGAACCCCAACCTCTCTACGCAGGGTTGACGGACGAAATCTTGCACTGCCTCTTCCAACTTGATGTTTCCACTGCACAAGCCGCACTCCCCTTTTCAATGTTGAGGCATTCGCAAAATGTATTCCAACATATTGCAAGCAAGGGCCCTTGAGCGCGAGGGGATAGCGAAAGCGGTGCAGGGAACAAGGGACCACGTCCTGCGCCAAAGGCTTGCGTGATTCTTACCAGCTGATAGCCGATATCTCCCCCAGGGCCAACATCTCCCAAGCCCCTGCCTCCGCAGCACCCTGTCTGCGGCGACTGCGGCACGGCCACCCACGAGATGCTGCACGCGCTGGGCATGGCCCACGAGCAGAGCCGGCCGGATCGGGAGCAGTACGCCGCCTGGCAAGCCAAAGAGGGGCCCAGGAAGGGCCCCGGCAAGAAATGTGTCCCAAAGATGTAAGCCTACTGCGCTTTAGGACTCAGTGCATTGATGTTTGAAGTTGATCCCTGTCGACTCATCGGGGGGCTCATCATTAGGAATGATGTGCTCCAGAATCGGAAGCCGAAAAATGCCCTTGCAAACTGGACTCCTTGGACTAGTTCCCCGGCCTGCGCTCGAGGCACAAGGGCCAGGGTCAGGGGATCATATGCAGTGATGTCAGACATGGGCCCTTTGTTTCATTCACAAAGATATCTAGAAATCCGCTTGGATGAGGCCTTTGTAGATCCGCATGAAACAGGTACTGAAAGAGTACCTATAAAGCACCAACAGTAAACGAAGAACAGGTGGGATTCACAAAAGCTGTATCACAACCGTTTCTAGATGGATCTGACCCGGACAGAGAGATCTGGCAACAACCAGGTGCAAAACATTGAGGCAGTCGTGAACTGTTTCGCCAGCATTAGAGGGCTTTCCTCGATTAAAATATCGACGGGAGAGAATTGGTGTATTTGGGGTCGGCTGGCATCCCCTCTTGCACTTATTCTTTTTGCTGAGGTTGCATGCGTTGCCGCGGAGAGTTGTCCCCTCTCCCCCAAAGATTGCAGACAACCAAGTTGCAAGTGTCAGAACATATAGCTATACAGGCCTTAGTGCAGTATTGGTGGGCTGCAAATGGTCGCCGAGCTCGGTTCAAGCATTGTGAGCAAGGCATCTTGTAGAACGGGAAGCCACGTACGTGTTCTTTTGCGGGGACGTCATCTTCGCCAAGCTTGTCACAGTATCACACGCAGTTCGGTCCTTGCAAAGAACAAAGTGGATATGTTGCACATGTTCGCTCGGCAAACTTGAAAAAGAGAGCTGAAGATGCAACGGTGCACCACACGTGCTTTGATTTGTTCCAAATACTTTTTGCTTTTGTGGTTGCTCAAAACCAAGCCTTAAACAAGCCCAAGCCTGTACCACACCCACCGTAAGCCCCACCAAGCTCAACCCCTACCCTAGAACAATCCCAAACCACCCCTCAAACGACCAACCGCAAGCCCACCCTCGATCTACCAAAACCAAACCCAAACCAACCCCAGTCGAGCGACAGAGGCAGGGAAGCAAGCGAGAGAGACAAGAACTAGCGAGAGAAAGGGAAGGAGAGAGAGAGAGAGAGCGAGAGAGAGAGTGAGAGCAATCAAGCGAGAGAGAGAGAGAGAGAAGAGCAAGCTCGTGCAAGAGACTCTCTCTCTCTCTCTCTCTCTCTCTCTCTCTCTCTCTCTCTCGCGGGCTTGGTTTGTTGTTTTCTCTCTCTCGCTCTCCCTCTCTCTCTCTCTCTCTCTCTCTCTCTCTCTCTCTCTCTCTCTCTCTCGCTCGCTCGCTCGCTCGCTCGCTCGCTCGCTCGGTTGTGTCTGTCTCTCTCTCTCTTTTTCTCTCCCGCTCTCGCGCGCGCTTGTTTCTTTCTCTCGCTCCCTCTCTCTCTCTCTCTCGGAGACGGGATCCGGAGAAGCTCCTGGGGAATGTGATTTGGGATTCGCGAATCCCGAATCCCGAATCTTGAATCCCGAAACCCAAAGTTGGATTTGGGATTTGCGAATCCCAATCCCCGAATCCCAATCCCAATTTCGGGACTCAGGATTCGGGATTCGGGATTCGCGAATCCCAAATTCAATTTTGAGATTCGGGATTCGGGACTCGGGATTCGCGAATCCCGAATCCCGCGCGGCGAAGCGATCCCCGGATCGCCACTCCTCTCTCGTCTGGTTGTGCGTGTTTGTATTCCTCTCTCCTCCCTCTATTTTGCGCGTGCACTTACTTCTCTCTCTCTCTCTCAACTCTCTCCCTCTCGCTCTCTGACTCTCTCGCTCCCTCTCTCTAGAGAGAGAAATTTCAAGCGTGCGCGCGAAAGAGAGAGAGAGAGAGAGATAGAGCGAGGGAGGGAGGGAGAGAGAGAGAGAGAGACAGCTAGAGAGAGAGAGAGAGAGCGAGAGATACAGAGAGCGAGAGAGAGTGAGAGATGAGAGAGGGAGTGAGAGAACCAGCAGAAGAGAGAGAGAGAGAGAGAGATAGAGAAGGAGAGCGAGGGTAAGATAAGGAGAGAAAGAGAGAGGGAGAAGAAACAAGCGACAGAGAGCGAGAGAGAGAGAGAGGGCGAGAGAGCACACCCAGGCAACTTACATAAGCCATGAGTGAGTCATTTTCTCGCTGGATCCAAGCATCGGCGACGTTTTGCTGGGAACATGGTGAGTAATCAGACCACATGTTTCCGTGAGAGCCCGGTCCGACCGCAGTTCTGAGAGTCGGCCACATACAGTACTTTATCTTACAAAACTCTTTGAGAGGACCCATGTACCCAAACAACTACCTCTTCTTCAAGCTGGTTTGATTTGGTGAGTTTGCGAGTGTCCCCTCAAGCATGCCGTGTGGCGAAATCTCAGTTCAGCTCGGCTTAGGTCTCGATCTTGTGGCAGAACATCCGGTCAGGCATGGAAAGCCAGTTCCAAGTATATGCCGGGGCTGATACATCTCAGCCCTACGACGTCATGTCCATCATGCACTACAGCTCGACAGCTTTCACCAAGAACGGCCAGCCAACCCTCCTGGCCAAGTCACAGGGTTGCCGCATCCATGGGTTGCAAAGTTGCAAGGCAGGCGGCAGAGGGGTGATGAGCCAGCAAGATGTCGGTCAGCTTTTCAACCTCTATGGATGCACTTCCAGGACTCTTTGCGCCCCTCCCACTCAAGGCAACTCAGTGATCATCATCATTGTTGTGGTTGTGGTTGTCGCGGTGGTCGCGGGCCTTGCGTTCTTTTGCCTTTGCTCATCGTCTCCCAGGAACGGATACACCAGGCAGACACAGTGAACACTACTGTGCTATCTTGTGCCGCTTGCGCTTGAACCGCAGATCCAAGAAAAAAGGTTGTGCCCCCGCAGCCGGAGGGATCTGAATTCGACTGGGCCACTTGCGTTTCGGGAGTCAGGACCTCTGTCTTCAGCGGCCTGGCCTGCGATCCGTGCGCTTTTTTTCGCGGAAGCGTTGCGTCAGGCGGTTTTGACAGCGGGGGGGCGTGGGGGCGTGGGCCGCTGCCAAGCAGAGGGCGTGACCCACAGGCGGCTCAAGGCGGTTCCAGGCACCTGAGCAACGCTCAGCGCTTTGGGTTGACTGGTATCCTGGGAGCTTTCATCGACTATAACTTTGCATCGGGCACCCTCTTTGCACTTGGGCGGTGCGACTAGTGAACGATTTCCATCCTCTCGTGCCTCATTGCAATAGTGGCCTTGCAGTAGACAAAGCACCACACCACATGTTTGCACGCCATGGCCATCGCAAGTGGAGCCAACGAAGAACCATTGCCACTCAACATGTGCATGATAAATGCGTCTGGGCATGTTTTCGCCCAACACACGTTACCAGCAAGCTAAGTCCGGTTTTCAACGAACACACAAAACAAAAGAGAAATGCTTCTAGGTCGTGTTCAGGACGCTGACCGTTACGCTCTCTCTTGCCATGGGCACCTCCCTTATCGCGCTGAAGGCGCCGTGAGGCGGGCACAGCCTCGCGGGCCCGGAGGGCGGGGAAGGGCGGATTCGCATGAAGCGGATGGTGAGTTTTGGACTTTCGGCAAAATAGCCTTTCTTTCCGTGACGGGCCCATCCCGAGCCCAGCTAGCTTAGGAGCGCAGGTGCTTGGCTCCTTGAGTCGTAATGTGAAAGGGGCCGGGCGCTTCCGGTAGGCTCAGGGGTGCCACCACACGATTTGGTCGCGTGTGGTCACTGGTGCGCCAGAGGCAAACCAACCCACACGCCCGTTTCTCTCTCCTTGCTGTGTACCTTTGGCCTCTGCTCCCTTTGTTCGCTGCTGTTGCGGCTGCTACTGCTGCTGCCACTGCTGTTGCCGGCCTTGCCTTTGTCGCTGCTGCTGTTGTTGTTGCTGCTGCAGTTTTCTGTTCAACCTCCGGCTCTTTCCGCCGACCTTGAGGTACCCATCTTCGACTACGGCTTGGTGACGTTCCTGGGCACGTTCTTTCCCGGCCTTGTGTTCTAGGCGCGTGACTGGCGGGTGCTCTTCTCCCGCGCCTTCTCCTCCCCTGGCGGCTTTGTGTGTTGTATTCTTTTCTGCGGGTGTGCCAGCCTATGGGGTGCTCCCCAATTGTCTTGCGGGCGCTCGCCTATGGGGTGCTCCCCAATTGTTTTGCGGGCACGGGTGCTCCCCGCTTGTCTTGCGGGCGCTCACACTCATGAGGTGCCCCCCACTTGTTTTGCGGGCGTGCTCACCGGCGCTCTATGAGGTGCTCCCCGATTGTTTCGCCAGCTTGCTCGCTCACCACGGGGTGCTCCCCATTGTCCGGGCGCTGTACGAGGTGCTCTCCCGGATTGTTTCGCAGGCGTGCTCACTCATGGGCGCGCTTCCCTATTGGTTTTCTGCTGGCGCGCCGGCCCATGTTCCCCATCTCTCATGCGCAAATGCTTGCAGACACGCTCGATTATGAGCTGTCGTTTTTCTGCTGGTACCGTGCGGGCTCCCCCTTTTGCCAGGCAATGACGTTTACGAAGCCGGGAGGGATGGCGCCTTAGGCAGAGCCCTGCGCTCTGGCGCAGAGGCTTCTTCTCTCTCTCTCTCTCCCTCTCCCTCCCTCCCTCCCTCCCTCCCTCTCTCTCTTTCTCTCTCTCTCTTTTTTGTCTCTCTCTCTCTCTCTCTCTCTCTCTTTCTCTCTCTCTCTCTCTGTCTCTCTCGTAATGTGAAAGGGGCTGGGTGCTGGGCCTGATGCATCTGATGTTGTTGGCTCCTTTTCTTCTCCAATCCCGTTCAGCCCTAACTTGTGCCCAGCAGGAGGCTAACTGATGGAGTCACAGGGTTGGCATATGGCTGGGCTTGAGGGGGCTCAAGAAACACACCGCATGTGCGGTCAATGTGTCTCAGCGGCTCTCAGCAAGAGCAGCATCTCAGAGCCCTCTATATAGGCCTTTCTCACGATTACAAGAGCCTAGAGTCATAAGGAGCTCTTTGGGATTCCTAGCAAATCTCTGGACATTCCACAAAACGCGAGCAGGTAGGGTCCCACTTCGGGTTTCCCTTGGCGCGGGGGCGCAAGGGCGCCGGATTTTTCCGCCACGCGAGGTATCTGTGGCCAAGCCGGCGGGCGATGGATGGGCTGCTGCGCACCTTTCACGCCAGCCTGGCGGACGCCGGCTTGGCACAGCGCCGCGAGGAGCCAGCATGAGCGGTTTCCGGGGTATGTTGTGGACCTTGCAGACACCACAAAGAGCTTTTCAGTGGTCCGAAGATTTGGATCACTAGAACGGTCTTCCGATTTTTGTGGGCAAAGGTATACTTCAGCTTGGGCTCTTTGAAAGAAGCAGGTGGGTCGTTTGAAAGTCTATCCGGCGATCTGCTCAGAGGCAGCGCTGGTGGCGCGGAGCGCAGAGCGCAGCAAGCTGGGCTACAAGCAGGATGGCCAGGTGCTTGCTTTTGGCTGTGCGGGTGAATATCAATGGGCCCTTTGGTGAACATACATACATATATATATATATGGTTATATTGATATATATATATATGTATATAGTGGGGCAGCAGCAACTTTGGGGGTAGTTCCCTATTGAAATTCATGGTCAGGTCTGTGCCTCAGCCATTTGACGCATCTTGATGCCGGCGCTACTAGGTTATAGGGCCTGTTTTGCCTGGCCGCTTTCGCCAGCTTGGTAGAACCAGATCACCCGCAGTCCCCCACTACTGGATACAGGTGTGCTGCAATGTGTTGCGCCCGGTCAATGATCATCTCCCACAATGTTGTCCCTCTGTGAGATCAATTCTGGTGCAGTTGGTGGTCTCCCCTTATTGTCGGTGTGCCTTTCTTTGTGGCGCTTCCCCGATTGATGCCAAAGCCAAGGAAAGTGCTGGCAAAACAGGGTATCGGCACTTGAGCACCATGCCACCCACTTAGTTACACAAACAAACAGAATCCCTTGTTTCAAGGAAGGCGCAGTCCCTTCTCCCACTTGAGCAACATACCAGGAAGGCACAGGCCCCGTTGGGAAGACTGCGCTCCTTATCGGGAGCTACGCGTTCCCGTGGCCCACCGGTCCCTGTGCGGGGGTTCAGGTGGCCTGGGACCGCGTGGAGCAGCTGGTGGAGGCGGACGTCACCTTCCTGCGGGCTCGGCTGAAAGCGCCGCCCATCTGGGATCCTGAGCTCCACACGCGGCTCAGGAAAACCGGGGTTGGGGGCAGTCTGTTTTTTTTTTCCCCCGTGCAGGGCCTTGTAAGGAGGAGAGCGGTTTGGCAGCAAGGGCTGAACGAGCGGAAGCCTCTGTGTTTTGAGTTGCTTCGATGCCACGATGCCTTCGCCACGTTGTTGGAAGACAACGGTGTACCAATCTCCAAGCGCACCACACGTGCATGCGGCGTGGTGGCTTCAGAGCCAACCCCTTACACTCCGTCAAAAGGACCCGCTAGCTGGAGACTGTTGATTTGGGAGCGGTTGCAACTTGTAGCACAACATCCCCACACACTAGTGGCAGGTTGGAAAGAATCTCATGATTTGGAGGCAGGTTTGAGAACAACGCGTCTCCTTTTGCAACCAGCCGGCACTTTTCTCCATGCGCATTTTCCAGTCCTTCCCACCTCTCCCTGGCCGCTGGCCGCTGGCCGCTGGCCGCAGGCGCTTCGCGGCGGGGGGTGGCACCGTGGCCTTGGCCGGCCAACGCAAAGACGTTCTGCTGCCGGGCGGGGCGCTGGAGTACAGCGGTGCTCTGGAGGGCGAGTGGCTGACGCTGCTCACCGGGGAGGCGAGCTCGAAGCGGTCCGCGGTGACGCCATGGGCTTGGGTTGGGACGAAGGATGTGTGGGATTAGACTCGCTGCAGGTTCTGAGGGAGAGACAGGACCCCACAAGGCCGGCTTCGAAATGTGGAAGGGGCTTTGTGCTGGCTTGGAGTTGGTTGGCTTGCCAAATGGCAAGTCAACTGAGGCCACCTTAATCCAGCAACGGGCGCGTTCAGGGCACGAACCAGCTTTTTTTTGGGGAAGCCGCCTTGCACATCCGAAGTGCCAGGCAGCGGGCCGTTTACAGACCTCCGCCTTTGCTCCTGTTCGGCAGGGACTGGCCCAACTTGGGTGTCACGTGGGCGTGGCGTTCGTCATGCAACGGGCACGGGATTTATCCTTCGAGTTTCGGGGGGGGCTCCCGGGTGCTGATGTCAAGCTTGTGCCTTGACCGGGGGACATGGGCAGAGCTTGGGCACTTCCGCTGCTATTGGCACGTGGCATGTGGCATTCACAGGCCCTCACACATTTGCATCACGGACTTCGTAAGGGGCAACACGACAATGTTCAGCTTGTGAGGCATGCCAACTCGAGAAGTCCAAGTAAATCTTAGGCCTGCCTGGCTTTCACTTGTTTCCCGCTTGTAGCACTCAGTTGCGAGATGTGCCCACAGCTCGCTTCAGCATCCAGAGCACTCCCTCTGACTCCCTTTGACGCATCTGATGTGACCATCGCCATAGTAAGTCACAAGATGCGATTACCGCTGCCAACCGATCAATGGTCACAGCTCGCAATCACCAGACGTCCATCCAAAGCGGCTCCTAAACTGCTGCCCCCCTGAGGAAAAAACGGGTATACAATACGACGCCACACCCATTTTTTGACCTGCCTCAAACCACTACCCAGGGGTTTGGTGGGTAGTTTGTATCTTTGCCACGGTAGTGGAAGCCCTCCAAATCGAGGTCTGGGTCTACCGCTTCGGCCGCGCCGCCGCGTGCTGCGCGCAGCTGGCGGCCCACCCGGCACTGGCGGGCCCCGAGCTGCGGGCGGCGCTGGTGTGCAGGTCGGCCGCGGTGTGTGTGTGTGTGTGTGTGTGTTCTCAGGGGGTGGGGCTCCTCGCCTAAAAATTGAGGTTCTCCAAACCAAGACGACTTTATGCTCTTGCTGGCGCACGCATTTTGTGCCACTGGTGTGCAACAGGGCCCTGACGCTTGCGCCAGTGAGGAAGCCTGACGTCGACCCTGTCCTGGGCATGCAGGCAGGGCAACCCAGAACCCCCCACGGAGACTCTTCACTTACCCAGATCCTAGACTTTCTGGGGCCAAAAGATGGCGATGAGGGCTTCAGGCTTTCCTGGTGAACCTGCTCAAAAAGCGGGGTTCTGCGCCATTTAGCAGTTCTGCTGGATCTACTCTGGCTTCAAAACGGGGGGGAGGGTGGTCTGGCGGCATGATTTAGGCAGGGATCTATTCTAGAAACCGGCTCGCATGTCTCTCATCATTCGCTGAGGGTCCACCTGGTCCAAAAGCGGGGGGCGTCCGGGTAGTTCCAGGAATCAACACAATTTGACTCATGAAGGGTTCTTTCCCAAGTGATGGCTGATTTTGGCCTGGTGACCATGACATGCCAGGATGCTTTGCCCAGTGGACGTGTTTCGCCGAGGTCTTTCTTGCCGCCACCTGGCGGGGCGGGCCGGTGCCCACAGGTCAGCCGCTGACGTGGGGTATGGAGGCCACTGCCGTGCGAGTGGGCCTGGAGAACGGGGGGGCACCTTTGGCGCAGCCCCAAAAGTGGGTGCCCATGTCCTTTGCGCTTGGATGACACCCATGGCGTTACAGGAAACCACGGGCGTCCGATTTTTGAACACTGGAGAAAGCTTGATGGAGAAGCACGTGAACATTTTTTGTGCGTTGAATTGAGAAGGGATGAAGCAGGTTTCAGAGCAAAATGGAATATAGCAATTCACAGCAGCGCCATGTTCTGAGGTTAGCCCCTGGCTCAGAAAGTTTCCCTTTGAAGCGCCCCTTTTCTTTTTTTTTTGTTCCCGCGAATGCTTGGCGGGTGCATGCGTGCGTGCGTGCGTGCGAGTGTGTGCGTGTGTGTGTCACGAGATTCTTTGGGGCTCTTCTCACTTGCCGAGAAATTCAGCCAGGCTGGAGCTGGATTTGGTTGAGTCAGCCTGGAAGGGCGGACTTGAACCAGTGTTGTCCGGAGGGTAGCCAATTTTGAACGTAGCAGGGACGAGGAGTTCCGATGACAAATGTGACTTGGGGGCATGGGCTTCTCTCTATCGTCGGCACACACAAATGGTGGCACAGAGTTTTTAAACATGGCCCTTTTGGTGAGTTTGCCTTGGTAGGCATAAAGCATGGGCAACCCTGTGGTAAGTGAATTTAAGTGGCAGGGTGATCCTGGCCCCCTCGCTGTTGCCAATTGCTTTGGCCCTAACTCCCCGCAGGGCAGCTACCCCTGCGTCCCAGCGAGGGAGCGAAGCGAGGCACGGAACTTGATGCCGCGATTCTGTTTGACTATGGCGCCTCGAGCTTCCACTGTGTTGAGGGAAACCATCAGCAGTCACGAAGTATGCGTATGTGATGTCGTGCAGGAGCAAAATTAAGGACACATGTTTGTTTTGGTTATTTATTTTATGCACGCGTGACTTGGTAAGGGGCCGGCGCTGCGCTTCTCCTGCCGGCTGGCGGATTTGGCAGGGCTTGATGAGGAGCTCGCTTCATGTGGGCAAGCATTCACCCACCGGGAGGGAAAGGGAAGCAAGGGAGAGGTTTCCAAATCAGATCGCCCAGGGCTGGCGGAAAGGAGTGCATGGGAGAATCGGCCATTGGCCCAAGCAAAGCTGTCCCTCAAGCTCAGGTTGCCCTTTGAAGTAGGGTGTGCTGAATTTGCTCGCTACGGAACGGGCCAAGCTGCACGGGAGGACGAGCAGGGAGACGCGTGCAGGTTGAACATTTGCCAGGCACATGCGCTTGCATTGGTTTTCTGTCAGGAGGGCGACACTGGCGCCGCTCTCAGCCCGAAGCTACATACTGAAGCTGACACCCCGGTTGGTGCAATGGAGGTATGTACTGTAGGCTGTAGGGAGGGCGTGGCTGAACATGACAGGACCGTCTGTGGTTGGCAACAGGTATCATAACATGTGCAGTGTCGTCGACTACATCTTCGCGCCTGCACTGGGAGGTCGTCCGTTAGCAACCCCCAGACAGATTCTGATCATAGCCAGTTTGCTATCCTCCCAGTCTAAAGTCGAAACCTCACAGAGGCCTTTTCCAAGTCGACAGGTTTGGCTTTCCAGGATCCAGGGGTCCGCCGAGGCCTGCGGCGCAGCGTGAGCCCCCGGCGCAGCCAGCGCAGCGCGCGCAGCGGGAGCCCCCAAAGAGCTGCACGGCTGAAGGGCTGAAGGGCGGCGGCGCCACCTCCAGCTGACATCCCGTGGCCCAAGTGGATTTTATTTTTTGGGACTTGAGAACTGGGCATGTTTGGGCTGCGTGGTGGTCGCCCAAGCGCTGGGTTTCCGCTGAATCTCTCGGCATGGACACCTGGCCACCCGTTCGACGATGGAAGGAGTGTCGCAGGGATCTCTTTTCCAGGGCTGTGAACAGATTGGCCAGGAACCTTTGGAAAAGCCCCGCATCTGCTGATGATTGGTTGGTTCTTCTGGTCAAACAACATGTGGTTGCTCGCTGCCTTGGGCCGGTCTCCGGGGCATGTGCTTCTCCTTTTTCAGGCGCCCGCCAAGCCGGCGCCGAAGAAAAGGCCAGCAGTGCGGCTCTGGGTCTATGGGCAGTGTGCAAGTGTTGCCAGCCGCTGTGTAGGAGCTGAAAACATGGGATAACCTTCATGGGTAGTTTGTGAACATGGGAAACATGCAATCTGCATGGGCAGCATGTGTCTTGGTGCTGTAATCAATCGCTCATGTATATAGTTAACACCTGGTCGGTGTGGCATGGGCCCAGAGTTTGCAATGCCGCGAATCTGTGGTGTGAGGCCTGCAGAACCAGCTTCCCACAAGATGCTTTTGGAGTCAGCCGCGCAGCAGCACACGTTGCTCCCTGCGTTCAAAGATGTTGCACAAGGGCCCCCAAAGAGAAGGATGCCAGCACACGTTGCTCGGGCCAGATAATATTTCCACTGGACCAATGGGCTGTCAGATGGTTCTCTCAGGATGTGACAGCTGCACTTGCTGCCGCGCGGAAGCTGATGAAGAAGGAATTGGACCAGGCGCACAGCCAGGGAGGGAGAGAGGGCTATCTCCGAGATGATGGGCCTCGGTGGAGGCAGTCAAGGACGCTTGAAGGTTGTTCCACCTGGGCCCCACTGTGGTTGGAGTTGATCGGCATTCCTTCATGTTCGCGAGTATCTGACGGGCTGCCTCCTCTCAGGTCTTGCACCCGCCCACGTCCTCTTCGCCCTCTGCGCCCGCTGCGCCCTCTGCGCCTGCTGCGCCCTCTGTGCCCTCTGCGCCCTCGCCCTCCGCGCCCTCTGCGCCCTCCGCGCTCCGGAGCCCTCCGGACCTGGAAGTCCAACAAGGACGCGCCGACGGTGTCGCTGGCGTCCTTCTGCTTGGGTGGTGGCGGTCGGGGTGTCTGGTTGAGAGCATTACCATGAAAGGGCCGGATCCACGCCTAGTGCTTCTCGACAGGTGCGGTTTGCAGGTGTTTCACGGGTTATGGAAGCGCCAGGGTCTCATGGCATGAGCGCAGGAGGCGGCTAGAAGATTGGCTTTGGTTTCCATTTCCAGTGCCCTGGTACTTGGGAGGTAAAAGCCTCAGCGACCTCCATCCTTGCCATTTTGTACGGGACCGACGGGACCCCCAGACAGGTGTCAGTCACTCCAGAGGACTTCTGCACCTTGCCAGCGGGGTGGAGTGCAGGGCGCTTGTACATAGCGGGGACAAGGTGTCCATTTGCCTGGCGGTGAAGCCGGACTACACGCTGAGCATTCAGGCGGGCCCAGACAGTTCCACCGGGTGGTGGGTTTTGAAAGGGCCAGGAATGAGGGGCCGAGGGCAAGCCATCAAGCATCCAAGCCCAAGCTTGTATTGATGCTCCTTGGCCCGATGTGGTGGGAGGCCAAACTGAAAGCAGCCCTGCCCAGTTGTCTGCGGCCCCTTCTTTTGGAGGGCTTGGCATAGGCATGCCAAAAGCTGGTTGCGCTGTGTGACGCTCATCTTTCCGAACTTTAAGATGCACTTGGCCTTGAGCCACCTGGGTGTGCTGGGCCATTACTTGCGGTGACCTGTCGCAGGCCCCCATAGCCCTGGAGATTCTGGGGCTAGGATTTGGGATCCCAGCAATTTGATCTTCGGGGTTGAGGGGGTCCAAAATAAAAGCAGCAAACACACACACAAGAAGGTTTGGCTTGTGGGCGTTTGCAACCTTCAGGCGGCGGGCGAGTCCAAATTTGTACCTCTGACCGACGTTGAGGAGGCTCGGTGGGAGCCCGTCGTTTTGTAGAAGCCCGGTGGTTGGGGTTCACATATTTTTGGATTCATCCCGAGGCAGTTTCTCGTACTGAAGACGCATTCGTCACTATAATAACATTAAGCAGATCTGAACACGCATTGTGGTTGTAGTCCTTGGGGTGGGGACGGCTGCAAAACTCCCCGAAGGCCTGCAAGGCAAATCGCAAGGGCTCATAGAGGGACAGCCTGGTGATGCGCAAAGCCACAACTCTTCCACAACTCTTCCACAACTCTTGCGCACCGGCCAAACTGTCATCACCGCAATATCACCGAAAGCGGGTCGAAACATGTCGCATGCAAGTCATTTTTGGAGTAGTGAGAGTCTGTGCGTCCCGCTGCCTCTACTTCCAAGTTTTCCAGGTAGGCACATCCTCCGTCGGTGTTTCCCGAGGATTGACCCCCAACCTTTGATTGGAATTCGTACGGATCCGAGAAGTGCGCGGGCGCCTCTTTCCGCCAGGTGGCCTTTGGGGAAAAGGCGCTGCCGCTGCTCAGGGGCTGCCTCAGCCGGAAGCCGCCGAGCCGGATCTGCGCGCTGAAGATGCGGAACGGGAACAGCCCCGCGGACGGAGGGCCCACCCCCAAAAGCGCAAGCTGGAATTTCTCCTCGGTTCCCCTGGGAGCCCCAAAGGAGGTACCGAGCCGCAAAGAAAGACACCCATATTGCAAGTGAACCAACCACAAAACAATTGGACATTTGCATTTGCAATATTTAGGCCACCGAGAGGTCCGGGATAGATGCCAATTGTACTGTAGGTTGTTTTTTGCCTTGCAAAGGTTTCGAAATGAGGCAGTTCTGGGTGAGTTATGAGCTTGAAGACGCTGAACCACTTGTTTGTTGGAGGGAAACATGGAGCTACAGGTAGTCTTCAGCCTCTTGTTCTAGCCAAGCAGCTGGCTTCTTCCAGGAAGCTGTTCTCGAACATCCCAGATTCTGACCCTTCAAGAGGGAGTCATCACGTATGCATCAACCTCTTCTGGATGGCTGTCAGCAGGACACAGAAGGCACATGAGCAACCAACAGAGCGGCCCCAAATTTGGGCACGCAGCCACATCCCACCGCCCCTGAGGAGTTCAATCACATACAGTGGTTCACAGATGGCTGAACATCCGGCTCGCAATTGGAGCCTTGCCGTTTTGCCATTGGCAAAGTTTGGCTGAAGGCGTTTGTCAGGGCAAAAGGACCAGTGGTCATGGCACAGAAATCTTTTTTCCGTGAATAAATTGCTTCAGGTTGGCGATCTTTTCACATCACTCAGCAGCTGAATAGACGCTATTGGCGTGTCTATATTCTAGATGCGTTTGCTACCCCGCAAACGGCCATAGGTAAGCTGTCTGGGGCCAGGGACAATTTCAGCATCGATCAGTCTTGGGCGAGCAGGGGAAATAGATGCAATCAAGCATCATCTTTCCTTGGGATTCTGCAACTCCTGGACCATGGCCCAATGGACGCTCGTTAGACGTTTTGGGGGAACAAGCTTGAGCCAGCCACTGCCAGAAGCCCCTTGCGCCATACTTAGCTCCCTCACCCCAGACAAGTAGGACCAAGTCAGGTTCCGAATTCAACAGCGAGGGCTTGGCGCCTGTTTGCCCAAGGCCTGGCGCTCCTGCCAGCGCAGGCAGGGCGGTGAGCCCCGCATCGCCTCCGAGCGGTTTGGTGAGCTGACTTGGCGGCATGTTTGGTTGCTGCTCCGTGTCCACTTGGTGGTTTCTTTGCCTTCCCCTCGTTGGCACACACGGTTGTCTTGCCATTGGAGGCCTGAATTTTCTAGCCAGCAGTAGTCGCAGGACCGCTGTATTGATAGCAGGGGCGCTTTGCCTGCTTCCTTGCCTGGTTGCTACGAAGCAGGGCGTGTGGTAACGTAGGTGAAGACCAACCAGTGGACCAGACAAGTCCAGCTCCAATTTAAGCACCCAGCCAAACCCCGGCCACTGACTTAATGACCACTTAAACGCGGCATACAAAATGGGCGTGTGTGCTTGGACGGTACCCCTTGCTGTGGGCTTGGATTGAAGAGAAATCAAAGGGACAACTAGCATGTTGCAGGTCCAAATCCCATCTTGAGCTGGTGACCCCTGGGCATTTAATGCCCTGGTCCTTGTGGAGGGTAAAAACGGGACACCGCCCCCTAACCTCCGAACCAATCCAAAGCATCACCAGTTGAGCAGGTAACCTCATAAACCAATCCAAATCACCGCGAGCACCACCCGAGGCGGGTGATTTGCCACACCCAAAAACTCTTTTTGGGAGCTCGTCGCCCAGCTGGCGCCGGACCTCTTCGTCCGCGCGCTGCAGCAGCTGCTGGAGGGTGCCAGAGCCGCCCCCCGCGCGAGCGCTGCAGGCGGGGGAGCTGTGTGTGTGGGTGTTTCTCACAATGGCGGTCCCGTAAAATGGCGGGCTCCGATTTAACCGGGTCTTTCGTTTGATGGTAGCCTTCTCGGGTTTCAAGGGAAGCCAAAAGAAAGCCAACCATTTTGGGGTTCCCCTATTTTAAGAAACAACTCAAACCAACCAAAGGGCGCCCGGCATTTTGAGGAACCCTTCTCGGTTACTCCGGTAGCTTAAAAGCTTTGACCACGTGCACTACCAATTGAACTTATTTCTTTTTCAGGGGCGGTGGTGGGAGCGGCTTTGGCTAGGCGCAGCATAACTGAGCTCAGCTTGTCTCTCAAGTTGCGTCCTGCTTTGTATCCCCAAGTAAGTGTCCTACCAGTCGACTGGCAGATGCTAGGGGGACATGCTATCGGCGTATATGCGCGGTGCCAATCGCCTGACGCAGGCCCTATGAAGCGGCCCTCCGGCGGGCGATCAGGAGTGGGGGAGCCTTCCCGTTCGGGTGGATTTCGCTGGGGTTGCCTTGCCTCTGTTTTCTAAGGCCATCATGGCAGCTGGATTTCTGGTTGCAGGGAAGTTCCTGCTATTTTTGCCGCTTTGTCTTTGGCCTGGTGCTCAGTGCCACTTGAGCACAAGTGCATAGGTTGCCGCGGCCCTGGGCCAGCAATTCACATGCCAAGGCAGCGAGTTTGGCTTGTTGCATGAGTCCACTGGCAGGAGGGGCATCGCCTGGGTCGCCTGCGATGCCTGCTGGTCAGCCAGAGGCAAGGATGGGCTGCCCACATGGTTTTAGGAGGTTCCTTCAAAAGCAACATTAGTTTTTGAGGCAGTCCCGTTTCGAGGTTGGTCCACCAACCGTGTCACGCGAGGACCGCGAGGAGCAGCCCCGCAGCCCCGCAACCACAATGTCGCAGCCAGTGGCTTTGGCTGGTTGGTACGCGGGGCGGGGCGACCAGATGATAGAGAGGGACACATCATAATCTATCGTAGTCGAGGGTATGACATGGGGGGCAGTCATCAAAGTCAAAGTGGGGCCGGAGATGTTGCAACATCGCAATGCAGCGCTTGACTTGGAAGGGCTTATCCAATTCCCGGAGGTGCCCCCGGTACAGTGAACAAGTGCTTTTCAGGCAACACCAAGACTTGAAGGCTCTTACATGTACCACCAAACATGTGAAATGGCTGGGCAGGAGTCTCTTAGCTTGGCTCGTTGGACCTACAACCCCAGCACAAGCGCCTGCGCCCTTCCTTGCGTGGTGCTTGAACTAAAATTGCCCCTTTCCCTGGCGCCAAGGAAGGGCCAGACGAGCTGGACAGAAGGCCGGCGGGGGAATGTTCTTTTGGTCCAGGATGACGCTCCACGCGAAAAAAGGGCTTGGTCACAAACCTGTAGCAGCAAGACACGTTGTCACTCAGCTGTCATGCCAAACCTCGCCCTTTCCCACCGGCATGCACGAACTTGAGTTGGAGTGACCCTGTTGAAGACCAAGTGGCTCTCGACTTCACGGGTTGGTCAATCAAGATTTTGATGCCGGGCTGATCTCTGTTTCGCGCGGGCAACGTGATGTTGGGCACTTGACCAAGGGAGCTGGAAGGCGCTCTCTGTAAAGGCTTGCATCAGTCCGTGGGACACGAGCAGCGCGGCATGCGGCAGAGTTTGCCGATGTAGGTGCTGAAGCCAGGATGTGTTGGCAGGATGTGGGTGTTACGCTGGTTCTTTGGCAAGGATTTCAAAGAACAGCGTCAGTGTTGCTCCCAGAGCGGCGACATACTTGTTCTTCGTGATTCGGGGAGAGCTTGGGTCAGCATCCATGTTGGGTGAGGTACCTGCTCCCCCCCCCCTTGTAGCCTGGGAGGCCGTCACAACCGACGCGGCGCTGCAGCACCTTGGGCGGCAGAGATCCCATGGACGCGGGTTGGTCTGCAAACGGGGGATGGAAATGGACAAGCGCCTTGAGAGAACTCCAATCCACCCTCACAAGCCCTCCCGGTTTACAGGATTGGAAAGAGGGTACACTTCCGGTCGGGAACCATCCGCTTTGTGAGAGGAAGATCCCTTTCCATGACGGAGCCCCAAGTCTAGGGGACCTTTTGGATCCAATGAGCCTTGATGGAGGGCAAAACATGGGGTGCACCATGGGTAGGGTCCGCAGTCAGGGCATCCCAACAGTTTGGTAGGTCCATGCAGCTGGGGCTCAGGGCTGTTTGCTCATGAAAACAGGGTCTCGGTGTAGCAAGGGCGCCATGAGTTTGCTTTGCTTTGGGGCGCTCTGCGGAGCTGAGGCTCTGGGACGTTGAAAGAGGCTCAAGGCGTGGCGGGGGCTCCTCAAAGATACCAGGGTAGTGACCCAAAGGCAACCAAATGGCTAGCAGGCCTTGTGGAGTTGGCCCTTTCATTTCGTTTTTTACCTCACACCTTGAAGCATCTGTTTCACCCAACCGGACTTTTGCACAGGACACTTGGGGACATTCCATCCCTGTGGTTCAATTTACCCTGGTGTCTTGCCCTTCTCAGCTCGACCTGGCCCACTTGCCAAGAAGAATGTGCGCTGCTTTGCAAGCGAGCCTGTCCCCTGCCCAGTCTGCAACAATTGCTTGATTTCCGAGGCACTGTGTATTGGTCCTTCGGTTTCGCACTGTGTCCCCGCACTGTCTGGAACCTGGCCCCCTCACCAGGCTTGTTCCTGGACGCCCGCATCGACACACCGCCCCTTGGCGTGCTGAGCCGCCAGTGCAAGGTACATCCCTTGGACTCCCATTTGCTAACATGAAGCCCAGAAAGCAGTTCCTTTTCAGCGAAACCTGGAGGAAACCTCCCTCCAGGTTGTATGTGAGGTGTGGCAGTGAGACACTGCTGACAGGTAGGGAGTGAGCTGAGGCACATAGCTTCTGGCCCACCCGCAGCTCGGTAAGAACATCGGCAGAAAAGTTGCAAACTGTGTTCAAAATGGAGCTCCCCCAGACCGCTTGGGCTGAAAACGATGCAAAGCCAAGGTTGTCGCAAGGACAGTTGAGGGCATAAAGAACTAATTGAGACATGTTCTTTAAGATTTGATGGTTGCCAGAACTCCCTTGCCTTCATGATACTTGTGGCGCAGTGGGGGCACAGCGCGCTGGGCGCGCTTTACCATTCCGAAGTTCATGCAGCGTAGCATGATTGGAACCGGTGGTATTGGAGCGCATGCCCTTGGATTGCTCCAACTCCCACTGCATCCAAGAGGAATCCAGGCGTTGATCCAAATGGTCAATAGAAGTTTGAACGCTTTATTCTTGCTAGCAAATAAAATCTCCAGAGACATTTTGGAGCTCTTTCTGGTTTTTCAGATGTGAACATTATACTGTGCGGCATGAGGGTGCACCCTCGTTCCAACAACCAGTAGTGGACAGGGCAGTGTTCCAAAACCTACCTATCAGCTTCCAGGAAAGTTCTCGCTCAGGCCAGGGCAGCGGCTGCAGTGGCTAGCCAGCCCCTGCAGGCGCTTTCACCCAAATTTGCAAAATTTGCTCATGTAGGTGTGGCTCATGACTCAAAATTAAAGAGCCAGAGTTACGCAGGTTTTAGCCTTTGGTTCCCATCTGCCAAGGTGCTGCCTTTGTTGGAGCCACAGCCATGTAACCCGAATGAGTGACGCATAGAGCTTACAGAAGAGCCCGCGGCACATCATAATTGCCAGAGAATTCTCGCTCAGCTACAGCCGAGGTTGGGGCGGACCAGTGGAGCATCTGTTTACGGTTCACTATGTTTCCTGTGCTTTTGCGACCTGGCCTCTCCTGGGCAAGCAGACGCACTAATACTTGATTGAGCAAGCATTGGGCTATCGGCCTGCTGTCAGATCAGTTCAAGCATGACCTGGACAGATTCTCAGGTTGTCGTCGTGCGCCACTGCTATGCACCCATGCCATTGCAAGCACAACTTGGGGTGCAAGCCATCAATGTTTAAGGATCCCATGGGTTTTCGGGGGGAGCTGACCTGCAGCAGGGGTGCTAGCTTCATGGGAGAGCCCTCTCGGTTGCCAGGTGCGCCTTGCCAGCGCAGAGCATGGCCCCGTCACTTTGCCGGTGCCGTGGCCGATGCTGCCGAAAAAGATGCCGTCAGGTTGACGGGACCCAACGACCTAAAAAAGGAACCCATGCTGCCCCAAAGTGAGAGATGTCGGTGGAAGTCTGACACGCATTCCACTGATCCAAACGGCAGGCTTTTCAGAAGTCGACCTGAGGCGCGCCCCCTAAGCCCTCTTCGCTCACCGCGCCCGTGTGTGGCTGCACCGGCTGCGTCAATGCCGGCTCAGCTGGCCGTGCCAGCTGTGCCGGTCACCTCAGCTGCTGCTGCAGCTGCGGCTGCTTCGACTACGTCGCGGCTGGTGTTGTCACCTCCGCCGCGGGTGCTGGTGCGGCTGTGTGCGTGGGGGGGTGGGCTAGGCCCCAGACAAAGGATGCGATAGGTATGTTGACGACCAGCGAGGGAATATTAGAAATTGCACCTGCTTGCTTGGAATCAATTTGCCGATGCTGCATAAATTTTTGGTGGTTCTGGATGTGCGACTTGCGATGTGGAATTGTGGCATCGCAGTGCAAGACTTTACCTGATGCCTGACACAGGTGCCTCAGCGGCACTTCTCGCCGGTGCTGCTCAGTTGCAACAGGTGATCTTGGAAGGCAAGCACCCAGCATTTTGGACGCCCTCCCAGGCGAGCACTAGGGCGTATTTCCCCTTCAGGCCTCATCACGAAAGCTAGCTTTAGCTAGCTGAAGTTTCTCCTTGCGTAAGCAAGGTAAGGGGCTCAACTGCCGAAAGATTGATTTTTTCAATTATTTGAGCCGAAAAGATTGAAAAAAATCAATTATTTAGACCCCCCCCCCCCCCCCTCCCCCCGTCTCAGGCTCGATTCCTCCTTGGTCCACCCCTCCCCCCGGGCAGTGGCTCAGTGTTTCAGCAGTCTCGGTTTGCCCGTTTTGGACTTGGTGCTACGAACTTTTACATGTTCCACCGATTCAGCTTGTTCATTTGAGACCTCAGTCTTCTCAGTAAACCACCTCGCAAGAATCTTTGCACACGCAGCATGCAGAACCCAGAGGTGCTTTAAGACAGCTTCTGACGCCTCTCGTTGTTTTCATTTTTCAAGGTTTGCCACGCCACCATGTGCGTTTGCGTGTCGCATCCTACGAATCTTGCCGGGCCTCTCGTTGTACACAAGCTACCTATGAATCCACTCTGTCACCGACCCATCTCATGCAACAACTGCTAGCTTTCGTTCACCCGCTCCTCAAGTTTGTGATCTAAAGAGGTGGCAAGAGTAGTTTCAGCCTGGAGAAGTGTACCGTTGGTGTCTGTTTGAAGTTAAGCCAGTCACAGGTTCCAAACTTTGAGCTTCTCCTCCCCCCTTTTCTCCCAATGGTTTGTTTTTTGGTAGAGAAGGGGAAGCCAAAAGGAAGCAAACCGTTTGGGGGACCACTCAAATTGTTCGGCCTGTGGCTTCCGCCCAGGACTCAGCCGGCTGTGCATTGGGCCCACTTTGCGCACCTTGGCGCGAGCCGTGGGAAGCGGTTCTTACCCACGCCTCTCCAAACGCGACATGTGGCTGGCGAGCCAATGCGACCTTCGGGCCCCTGGAGCTTCCTCAAACATAGGACCCCCGGATTCACCCTCATCCGACTTACATGCAACGCAAATCAACTCGCAGGCGGCCAACAAGGCCAAGAGATTTCAGAATTGTGGCTCGCTTTGGTTGCTCAGTGTGCGCCATTCGCACATTTTAAAAGGAGTCGTTCAGGATGAACTTTCTAGTTCCAAGCAATCAGTTGTACATATAGCATGGGGATGCCGTAAGCTCAGCAAGTTTTACCGCTGAGCGAAACCATATCATACTTGAAGTGGCAAACGCACACACCTAGAGACATCTTGATGGGGCGGGCCTGCGGGCATGCTCAAATGTTTTTGCCCTGCAGTTGGGTCGAAGAAGCGGGTTCCCACATTCATTGCAAACCACATTCATTTTGAGGTTGCCTCGGCCTCGGCAAACATATGACCATTCCCAGAAAGTGGATGTGGGTGACCGGCCACCCAATCTTCAGTTTCATTGGTATATGGGCTCGGTTGGTAGCCTCAATCTACGAAGGCTTTGCTTTCTGTGGGTTTTTAGTTCGCTGAAAATGCCCAAGGGGCACTGTCCAATTCGGGGAAGCCGTGGCTCAGGCATTCACCGCAGCTCTCCAGGCACGGGGTGAGTACGTGGCATCGCCCCACCAAAAGGCATTCTACCTTGGCCCAAAAGGTAATGTTTATAACCACCCAACAGAGAAACATAGAGGTGACCACAGTGTCACAGGTCTTTCGAACTCGTTGCCATGAAAGTGGCCAGGTAAAAGCTCAGCTGACTGTTCTTTTGCACTTGCCAACGGGGCAAGGATTCGAGTGTCCGGCAGTAGCTTTTACACTCATGTCGCCAGGCGCGTTTGTCCATTCAGAAATTTGAATCGGGATTGGGTGCCAATGTCGCAGACTCGCGTTCTCACAAACCCCGGGCCCTGGAATGCTTGTTCTTCCCAAGGCCACAGATTTTGACGCAGCGTCATTCCCAATTTTTGTCACAACCCTAGCATTCGGCCGGTCATTGACAGCGGCCATGAGCCCGTTGAAAGATGGATGCCATGCCACATCACTTTCGGAGCACCTCAGCACGGGGCGTTAAGCTCGGAAAGCTCGGTGTTGAAGCTTCCGAAAGACTCGCGCCAACTTGCAATCGTTACTATCATTGTGGTCAGACAAGGAAGGCCTTGAAGGAACAAACGCTCCCATGCGCCTTGAAGTTGGCAAAGCTCTTTGGGCGGAACGATGTCAGCGAATGCTGCAGGTTCTTTTGCTCAGATCCCGGCCGCTTCGCCGGACCCATGGCAGATCAAGCAGACCGATGGCTCTCTGGGAGCGCCAGTAAAGATGGTATCCGGGACTTGCTCAGCGGCATGCTCTCAGGCTTTGTGTGCAAAGTCGTGGAGTAC